AAGTCATTTCACGTGTTGAAACGCACGTGCAAGCAAAATGACCTTCGTTCCGCACACCTACAACAACAACCCTAGGTTTTAGGTCAGTTTCCGTTGGACACGGACAAAAAAGTACCGGAGAACAAATTAACTAGATGCGTTCTGTCGCTGAAAGCAACAAGTGGTCTTCCGACCGACTTTTCGGTTCTATGCTGCGACATCCCTTGAAATAGATTTCAGAATGTATTTTATTGTTTACATTTATTCACAGCAGTCTCTCAATATGCATCTAGATAATTACATGTATTCCTCAAAATATCTCAAAAATAGCCTTTAAAAATCGGCAAAATAGTTCATACGTGTTACAAAAGAGATAAAAGTCATTTGCAACTGAAAAAAGAAATAAGCAAAGAAAAAAAAATGAAACGCCTCACAGCGGGATTCGAACCCCCGACAGTGGGACAAAGTTTGGTTCGGTCATATCTTTTCAATGCATGCACGCATCCAGATATTTAACATATATTTAGAATTCTCATAAGACACTCTATAAACCCTGTAAATCCTAAAGAAAAATATTGAAAAACAAAAAAGTTGAGAAATAGGACTTTTTGAATTCACTTCCGTTTGCGACCGGAAGTACCGACGACGAAAAATAAAGGTCGTTGCCCATAACGGAGTTCGATGTTCTATCATCTCAGTGAGTTTCACTTTCATATCTTGAGCCGTTCTCGAGAAAACTGCTGGACAAAATGCCTTTTAAAAAATACAAAAATCCCCAAAAATCGCGAAAGACAGTGAATTTTGAAAAAACGAAAAACACGTCTAGAGATATTCTCATGATGCATCATCACTGTAAAAATCTTTTAAATTCGTCCACGCACAGCTGAGATATAACCCTAACTATGAAAAAAGAAGAATAATAATAAAAAACAGACGAATAACAGTAAGGTCTTCCGATGGAAGTCGAAAGACCTTAATAATAATAAAAAACAGAAGGAAAACAATAAGGTCTTCCGAAGGAAGTCGGAAGACCTTAATAATAAGAAACAATACAATCACTATAAGGTCTTCCGTGAAGACGGAAGACCTTAATGATGACCTCAAATCACTTATTTAAAAGTAACAAAACTTACCTCTAGCAATAGTTCAACTGACATAACAATTTTATATTATAAATATTATGTTTTCTGTAATTATCATTCTGTACTTATCATTATTATTTATTTTCTCATTTTACACAATTTATAAAGCTCTAATTTAGTTTTATAAAGAAGTCTCTTATTTACATTCTTTCGTCTCAGAGTCTGATGAATCAAAGTAACTGTTTCTATTGGTGATTTCCCTATTTTGAAGCACAAATGCAACTGAGTACAACAACGTGTATGATTACAAATACCAATGCCGTCATTTAATTTTCAACTAAAGACTAGAAAATGACGTGAATTCTGTCTTTTAAAATATTGAGCGATTAGATAAGACGCTTTTAAAGAAGCTTTTTAATGTGATTGCCTTTTCATTCTAAGAAAAATGCACTTTAAAACGTGTCGTTTAGTTGTAACGCGGCGACACCCCTTATGTTCTACGTTTTAAACATCTAGAAAATAAATTCAATTAAACATTATTGAAAGAAAATTTCAATGTTAATTAGGTTTATATATGTGCATCTATTTGGTATATTATATTTGATAATATGACGCCAAATAAAAAAGATATAGACACTGTGACATTATTTTGGATCAACCCTCGTATAAACCGTAAAAGGACTATTAACGTTCACATGTTAAAATGCTGTGTTCTCCTCTTATGGGTGGCGGAAAGGGTATATAAAAGACGTTGAAACTAAGAACTAATTTTAAAAACATACTGAGTCGTTTGCAAAATCAACAGACTCCGATGCAAAATTAACAACCATTCACTGAATTGCAAATTGACGCTAGATGGCATGCAAAAAACAGACATTACCTGAAATAACGCTAGATGGCGCGCAAGTTTTTCTACGTCATCATTTTATGTGTACTTTCATCCTTGTCAATCAGCATCAATTAAGGACCCGGACCACAATTAGCTTACATATAGACTTATAAAGTAAAGATGTGTTTTATTTTCTTTAAATTTTTTTTTAAAAAGCTTAATTTCCAAAATATTTTTTACCACATGACAGAACAATGTGTAAGATAAATATTCACATCCCAAAAACAGGGGTGTTCAATGTACAAATCCCTGGTTATTAAAAAATGTCTGACGTCATGACCTCAGAATAGCTCTCGCTTGGCCTAAAAGTGTAAACAAATCAAATAACCTCTCATTTCAATTTATATTTCTATGCATAATTTATGCTTAAAATGCACCCTGATGCATATCATTGTAAACTTTAGACTTTAATTATATCACAAACATATTAGCTGTTTTTTTTTCATTTATGGTTAGAAATTTGGAAAAATGTATCATTAACCTATAGCTTATAGTCCAACTTATAGTCCAACTTTATGAAATCCATTTCGTAGACAACAAGAGGAATACTGGAACCAAGCCTTTTTCCTTACTCCTCACAAAATATTGACTGTAGTGAAGAAAAACTTAAGGAATACTGTGCAACAATATTTTCGAGAAGTTGATAGGTGTAGATAGTTAGAAATTCCAAGGAACTTTTGGAAAATTTGATATCACAAAATTTTACTTCAATCAACAGCTTAAACACTTACGACTTTTCAACTTTAAATACAATCATTCCCAACAATAAAATAAGGTCCGAGCTTTTTGATTTCATTGCTAGCTGTTACTTCCCTTACTTATGCAGCAATACCTTCATCACCTGCAAACGAAGTTTATATCTCTCATTTGGTTCGAAAACCAAGATTATGTTCTGTGTATGAACAACTTCTAAAACGAGGTGAATTATTTAAGAAACAGCAAAGAGCAAGAGCCATCTTATGCATAAAATGGCCCTGTACTTATATCAATTAATTAACTATCAACCTCTTCCCATTTTCATATATATCAAAATAAAGTAGACACTTGGTGCTTTCATGTTCTATAATGAAATTTTGTTTTGAGAATCCAAATATTTGTAAACAGCCTTTGAGAAATTGCAATGTTCTTGAAATTTGCAGAAAATATGCGTATTTGACAACCTCCAACAAAGAATTGAAATATGAGCACAGCCCACGATCCAAAAAATAAAACATGTTTTTTGATCTTCAGAAATAGACCTTTCATTATGTATTGGCATATTTTGGATCAGAGGTTGTGCTCTATATGAAATATTGAAAAAACGCTTCAACTTTAGGTCATTTTCAAAGGAATTTACAGGATATGAGGAAAATGACGCATTTTATGACGTCATAATGCATTGACTAGATGTGAAATTACGTCACAATTAATAGATACATGGTCACCAACAGTCCAAGTGATAAATACTGCATTTGCAACCTAAACTGAGCGGTTTTGAATTTTCAGAAATTCTCAGGGCTAAATAAGACCCAAAGTGGCTCTACCTCTTTAAAAACCTTAAAACAGTACTTGTTATATATTCATATATTTTGGGGGATTCACATTTTATTAATTTTAAATTTTATTTCAACACATCCAGCAAGTATCAAAAATATTTCCAACCCAAACATAGGCAAAAGCATTTTAGCGATATCGCAACACTAACATTAAACATCTTCCCTGCGCACTTCATTGTGTAGATATAATATTTAAGCCATAAACACTGGCTTCTTTTGTATTTTTCTGAAGTTTTAATCATGAAGGAAAAATTACTCATTTTTGTTATTTATATTTATATATTTATTTATTTTTCAAAGTATTCAAAATGATGTCTTAATGGGCATAGTACCACATTCCGAAGCAAATGTTCAATGAAAAACATTAATTAAACAATAAATATATACAATTCTCTTGTCTGTGATTTTGAATTTTTAGTTATACTTCCATTCTGAAAGAATTGCAGTTTACAATTATTTGTAACTTTAAAATACAATTAAAAAATCCGTTTTTTTTATCTATTTTTTTTTTTGTCGTTCATTTCAAACATTTCATTCTACTTTCTCATACCCGTAGGTTCTGTGCTGTTTTAATAAAGATTATCAAACTACCGGGTACCTTGATTTCGTTACATTGTGACTCAGAATTTCCTTTATATATAAAAGGTTTTAAAATATGTTCGCATTTCTCTTTATATAGATATTTAAAATTACTTTATTTGAATTATATAACTTGAATTTGCAAAGAATGTTACCTATAGTAGAACTAAATATGCACTTAAAAAGGTTTTAACGTAGTTTATCCGGTTTTCTTGAAATTGAAAGACACGATCTTGAAATTGAAATTATCTAAAAAAAAAAATCAATGTGAGTTCACATTGATTTTTTTTAATAACTTCAATTTCAGCTAGTGTATGCTTTAATGAGCTTAAAAAAGGACTTTCGCTCTTTTTGTGTGTTTGACAAACGAATATTCGACATTCGTTTGACTTTTAACATATTTGATTAATTAAATCAAGAATTTGTATTTGTTCATTTAAAATTTCCGTAATTTTTTGTTTTACAAAATAGAAAAATAGAGTTTGAAAGAAAAAATCTTCGTATCATTTGGCTTGTTTTAAGTAATTTAACAAATGAACATGATATCTACATTCAGTTTAAAAACCTTTGACAGATTTTATGATATTATATGAGAAAAATTAATTTAAATGATGTAGTCTGAGAGTGTATAAGCTTTAATCATAAATTAAGCTTCCATGCTTCGTTATCACATAGTTCACTTTTTATGTTTTTTTATCCAAAGATAAATCCATGACCTCCAGTCCATTTGATATCCATTTCGACATGGAAGCAGCCAACGATATCATGACCATGAATCATCTCAGCTTGAACTCGGAATTCCCCTAAAAATTGACACAATATTTGCATTCAATTACATTTACTTTAGAAATTTGAAGGGTTCATAATTCTGCAAATAATTGAGAGATGTACTTATACAAACCGTCGCTATCCACGACCAGGCTGCATTAATTGTTTTCACTTCTGGAACACAGATGGGGGTAGATTGATGTCGGTTGGATTAAATGGACACGTACACGGGAGACCATGTGCCTCAAGTTGAGGTGGACAAGTTCCTGATGTCGCAAAAGCAGATAAAAACTCACATGGGTTATCGTAGTTGCTGTTTAGAATAGAGAAAATATCTACATTGTATATGTATGCATAAATGTCTGTTGTGTGGAATATTTTGTTGAATATAGTATTAAGATGACTTTGCTTCAAATTTTCTTTCCTTTTAGGGTGTCTACTCCATATAAATGCAACGGATAGTACAAATTTGATGTGTTAAAGGATAAAAAATTGAAATTACTCTTAAAGCTTAAAGATTTTTTTAATTGATTCCTTTTCAAACTACATGTATATACAATTAAAAATAGTTTTGATTTGGAACAGAAAGGTAAGAAATACTGTTTTCGTCTTCTTAAAAAGTTTTTTTTTTTTTGGATAAAAAGTTGCCATTTCATATTACTGAATATCTGGATATCAGAAATTAATAAAATATAGATGTTTGTGATATCATACCAAGATCCTACGTTACTGTTACAGGGAACCTTTGTCCATACCCCTAAGAGATATTTGTCCATGTGAACTACCATTCTAACATCTTTGCCAAAGTTATGATGAACTGATCCTTTTACACCGATTGTGATGTTTCCAGGAATCACCACAGGAGACGGCGACACGGACACAGATGTAAACGTCACATACGGATGGGCAGTAGTGGAAGCTTAAAATGAAAAATATCGGAAAAAAATTGTATGCATTACCTCGGGCTGGATAAAGCTTACCGGTGTTCTGGAAGGATTTTCCAAAAAATACTTACTTAAGCTTTTATTTTTGAATAAAACTACAGGAAATCATAGCAATTTCTAGTTTAACCGAGGAAAAACCATACTCTCTTCCATCCTAACTTTGCACCGATTTCTCGAAGTGACTGACCAACAAGTTGATGATACAAAAATTTCAAGTCTCTTTTAAAAATTCACAACTTTTGTAGTCGATACAATGTAAGCAAATACAATCAATAATTAATTCAAAGGCTGACTGATGAAAGGGGGTCTCATTTCTCTTAGTACCTTATCTTATCTTTGATGTTTTAAAGTCCGTGCTCTCTCCCCTCTCATTGTTTGAATGGACTTTTGAACTTGGGAATTGTTCCTTTTTCCGATATTTCACCGTTTTTTAACTTATTTTACATATGGAAATTTTTAATTCAATATGGCTTTGTTCGCTTTGCATATTTGAAGATTTTTTTAGATTGATCATTGTTTGTTGTCTTGACCTTTTCGTGTTAGGAGCTACATGAAGGTTATAGCTTTGCATCGAATAAGTTGCGAATCATTTACGAAACAATTGTTAGTACCAAATTAGCAAATCTTATCTTATCTTATCTTATCTTATCTCTCAGAATATTTATATTCATTTTAGGAAACTTTTCTGAAAAGTTTCAAATAAGAATCTTTACGAAATTAAAGTATAATGTATTTTTTATGTTATTATTTTTCAATAACTTTATGAGACGCTGAAATTAAAAAAGAGAGAGTTTTCTACTTCTGCAATAACATGAAAAATCAATAAGCATATTAAATAAATTTTTGAAGCATAAAATTATTTTTAAAATTTACGCAGATCTCCGACCTGCAGGATTAATAGATCATTTTACTTACGAACACAATCCCTCCAAGTAAAAGCTGCTTCTGAAGAAACAAAAATGGACAACAGAAAAAGGACTGCATTCATTGCGCTGCTCATGATACACGTTGGATTAATTTAGCACTGAAATATCTTCACTATCTCTCTACTATCGGAAGGGTTCAAGGATATGACTTAATCAATAATCACTATAGTTCGTAGGACTTCTAATGCATATGCATATCTATAATTATTTGTAGATGTGTTTCATTTAAAACCTTTAGTTTTTAATAAAAGCTGGTCTTTTTCATTCTAGCATTTTTAAATCAACTTTTTTCACCTTGAATTAGGGATAAAAAGGTTTAAAATATACAAAACCTTATAAACTTTCTCACCAAGGAAATTAAAAAAATAAAAACCATAGCTATTAAAAGAAAAATATATAGTGTTTGAGCACCGTAATCTTAATTTTAATATAGACATTTATGATATACATATTAGAGTAAAGGCATATAACGTTGTGCAACCACATAACTTTGAATCCTTCTTGAGACACGTTTCAACACTACATGAAGATAAGGAACAGTTTGACGCGGCACACTCAGCTGACTCTTGTCAATAACTTTCATGTATTTACATCAAGGTTCAAGTTTTCAGTCATTAAAAAATCACAGGTTAAATAGAAAAATGTCTTATAAAAATAACAAATTGAAAAGAAAATTCATTGGAGTATTTATTCGATTCAGTGCATTTGACAAAATATATTTTGCATTTCCTTCCGCTTCAGTGAATTTCGACGTATTTAACGATATTAATTTTTAACAGGTCGGAGAGAATACTCGAAATCGGGTATTATCCGTGAAATCGCGTATAATACTCGATATTAGGGTATCGTTGAATCCGCGAAATCGGGTATTCCGTGCAACTTTCTATAAAACTAAAGAATAAAGCAACGGCGCATTATGCCAGTAACTGTTACTTGTACATCAGTATCTTGTGGATTTATTTTTATTAAACCTAATTCATACGGTTGTCAAATAAGTTTAAAATCACACGACAAACACTGCTGGGGTAACAAAGAGAACACAATGGCGTTATTATTTTTCAATATAATTTCTAAAAACAAATAACTACACTTCGTTTGTCTTTATTTCCCATTAAAGTATTCCATATACTTAATTTTCTAATTTGTGCACTATTCACAAAACGTGAAATTTTAAAGAAATTAAACGACTAACGCCGTGTTATGTATTTTTACTGAAAAATGTATGGCGTCCCTTTCACGTGAAATATAAATTATTCCTAACAGTTAGAGAGTACAGTATAAGCGAGTCATAATGTGTATATCTCTGCCATAATAGAATACCAACGTTATCATAAAGAAGAAAATAAAATAAGATTAAATAAATACCCACGAGAAAACAGTTTGAAAATAGCTAATTGAAGGCGAGTATCTTTTTTTATCTCAATTTAGCATGAAATTTTTATTCAAAGACACCGTAAATTTTTTGGTTGTATTTTAATCGATACAAGATATGCTGTTTTACCTTTATTTTATGCATTTGTGAGAAAATTGAGAGCGAGAAGTCATATGAACAGGATTTTCTTTTTTTTTGTATAAATAAAAGTCAAATGTGTAGATTTTCATGAGCTTATAATACATTGAATTTCTCAATATAGATCGAGGTACAGTCATATTGAAATATGAATTACATAGTCAAGTTTTCACATTTCTTATAGTTTTTACGTTTATGAACATGTTTATGAACAAACTGAAATAATGGAGTGTTCAATTGCCTTGGAAACTCTTGTCTTACTTTTTGGGAATATAATTCCTCATCGGACATTAAAATTTCATAAAAATCGTAGCCACTTCCTTTCTTTATTATACTATTTGATAGACAGGGTAAATTTTACCTCTTAACTTTCTATATTTTTTTCATATCGCTATCTTATACCTCATTATAATATGCTAATACAACGCACTATCTGATTGGTTCTAGACAATATGTCACAGTTTTCTTTTAGTTATTTTATCTATAATATGTATTACTCATGGCAATAACTTTTCCTAATACTCATCTATAATGAAAAAATGTGTTTAAAAAATAAACCTGAATTCTAGTTATTTGTAGTCTCATATTGTGTTAGAAAATAACGGTTGCTTTTTGTATACCTACAAAATATGAGATTTTTATTTGATGAATAAATCTTCCCTACGATTAAAAATATATGACCGAGTTTAACCGACCGTGACATTCAAAGAGAGGTCTCTTGGACCCATGTAGAACACAGTCGAGGTTGTTTTGTCAGAGGTGACAAAGAAGCCTTTAACCCCCCCCCCCCTTTGAAGTCGCCAAGAAATGGTAAAACATTGATGACTTAGCGAAATTAAACGATCAACAGTTATGTTCTCTCATAAGCTGTATTCCTGAAACTATCACTGTCTCTGCTAAAATGTTGAAGACATATTCTGCAAATATGTTTGAATGATAAATAAAAAAGAAAAGCTTTTCAGAAAAAGAGAAAGAGGGTTCTTTTGGCCGAAATTTTAGACATTTTTATCATTACATTATTTATACATTCATAAATAAATTTGATTTTATGCACAAGATGAATGTGAAAGTAATTAATGACGCATAATTAGATACGAAAGACAATCCCTTGTTTATACATGGCATCATATCTGGTGTGTGAAATGTGTTTCCGTATAATTTGATTTATTTACAAATTGTTCATGTTTGTCGTATTGATGTGGAATTATTATAAATTCCCGAATTCTGATATTTTACAATTCTGTTGTGTTGGGAATGAACGTTAGGAAGATGCATATACTTTCAACATAAGGAAAAATATAAAGCAAATCGAACGCCTTTTTGTGTGCAGATCATGAAATGTACTGAGCTCCACGGGTATTTGTTGTCCCGAGCGCATTAATCTTGACGCCCAAATTCTTACTTGGCTAGTGATACCTTTAGAAAACATGTGTATCTAGATGAAAGTTAACTCGGCAACATGCGCCATCCCATTGTTTAAGTTTTATTAGGTGATTACACCTCCTATACCCGATTTCGCGGATTCAACGATACCCTAATATCGAGTATTATACGCGATTTCACGGATAATACCCGATTTCGAGTATTCTCTCCGACCTGTTTAATGAGAACCAGATTGCACCTTCCGGTATGGGAACAGGATTCTCAGATTGCTTGTTATATACTGAAAGGAAAAAGAAACGCAGGGTAAACTTTTGAGGTGAATTAAATTTGTTTTTCTTAAAATATGTTTTAGTTTTCCTATCTAACTTTTAAAATCATCTTTAAAAAAGATATAACCAAATTCCAATTTGATTTTGTCTGATAATTCATGAGTTATTGAAGCTCAAATGACGATACCCCCCAAAAGTGAAAATCGAAAACTCTCATTATCTTCAATATCTCGCCCGTGCATCTGTCAGAGTCTTATTTCTCCTTTGCATGGACTTTCCTCAGAGTGTTTATCTTTCAAATCCTGACTATATTTAGCATGGGTAACCACGCAAAAAAATAAGTCAAACGGCGCGCGCATGCGCCGGTGAGAGGAATACAACAGTAAGTTGACTGGCTCAAAAAACCAAAATTGCGGAGTTGTTTTCTTTCAAATTTCGTATGAATGTAATGATTATAATCGTCTACTGTATAAATGGCTGTTTTTGTGGTAGTAAGGTGGCGATTTAAGAGATGGGAGGACGAATAACCCGCTCGTAACATGGCTCTATTTTGCGTTAACGTCATCGTCACGGTTGATTGAAAATCATTCCAGACCCTCTCTGACAACGGGTAACAAGTTTTATGGGGGGAAATTTACAAGAAAGTGCTAAGTAAACAGATGTTGCCTTTTTCATTAATTAGGCAATTCGAAAACAAGACCCCATTGAACTTGCGTAAACCGTGCCAAGATCGCAAGCAATTCATAATGTCTCTTAATATTGAAAAACAATGTGCATACCTCATTTGCATCAAATAATGCAACAAGATTTGTTGACAATCTCGTCGTTATCAAATTGCACGTGTTTTGGGCTTTTAACGTTTTCCCTACATGACGTCATAAATTTTACGGTTGAGTAATTCTGAATACTGATTTTGGTGCATAGTAACAAAATTTATCTTCTGACCAATTTTCGTAATTTTCGGTCATGTGGTCAAAATTTTTTTGAACATTATGCTACCCTGCGTTTCTTTTTCATAAATTTGAGTCACAGTCGCTCGGCGCCCCCTTGCTGCTTAAGAAATAAAGTCCGCGTTTTCGTGAATGTTGCAGAATAACCTCCGAGGTCGAGGAATGTGTTTGAAAGATAAAAGCCGAGGCGTTAGCCGATGCTTTTATATTTCAGACAACATTTCGAGACTGAGGAGGTTATCCTGTAACATTCACGACAACAAGGACTTTATTTCTATTCTACAAAGATCATGAAGATCGCTAAAATACGTCTGATCGTTTCCTCTTTACAGAAACGAACTAGATCACCATGTCTCGATTACGCTGTTCCTTTTAACACCAGAGGGAAAATTTGTTTGCTTACATGTGTATGGAATGCAGACAATTTGAGCTTTCTTTGCATAAAAATAGCCTTTTTAAATTTCAAATTTGTTCGTTACATGCATTGATTAATTCTAATGAATATACAATAACAAAATCATGTTTCTCACTTTCTGTTTAACTGCTTTATTGGTGTTTAAATGTGTAGGGAGGTCCGTGGAATAGGCCCGCTTGGCTATAAATACCGACATTTATTAGCAACTTGATGTAATTTACAGTGTTCAGACTGCAAAAGACGACACATCGATGTGGTCTAAACAAGTATTTCATTTTAGAGTAAAATATTTATTTCAACTGTACAGGTTTGATACGTGTTTCTGATCTGATAATTTTTTGATGAAATTCGTGATTTATTGGAGAATAATGTCCGCGGCATTTCTTTGAAGTCTGCAATAATCGTGGTAGAATTTCAAATATGTTACGAGAAACACCGCAAATACAAAGTGATTAAAACGATATATATTCAGAATACTGAATAAATTGGGCAACAAGCAAACTGCCTATAAATACCCTCTCTGTACAAAAAGTCAAGGTAACAAATATATATAATCAACTGAGTTTATATTTTTAATTACATTTTTATTTATCGCCGATATGATGTATTGAAATGGACGATATCAAAATCTTTTTGCTTTAATTTTCCTTGAATAAAATGAATCTGGTTTACAAAGTTTTCCAAGACAGGCTTGATAAGCTAGGTTTGACAACTGTGTTGTTTCTTCAATTATTATATTCTTGTTTGTCTAAAAATGAAGAGCTAATTATTTATTAACAATTTTAACAATATGAATGAATGAAAAATGCTAGGAAAGAAAATAAAAAGTGTAAGATAAATTACCTTTGAGAGTCATCCTAAGATGTAAGTACTAGTACATATTTCTACAAACAAGATTGATATATAAATATTCTATTATATCTTATAGATTCGAGTCTTATAGTTTTGAGCAAAACATGATTATTTTTTCAAAATATTATTTAAAAAATTTTCAAAAAGTTTTTTATACAGAAAAAATCTAGATCACCATACTGAACACCGAAATCTGTTAATTTTTTTTCTAAAAAAATAATGACGCATTTCATGCCCTAGAAACCAGAAAAGTTTTTTTAAATCTTAATTTTCTTTAAAATGTCTATTTAACATTTAAAATGTCATCATTTCTTTAATTGCTGACACTAAGTCCAAATGTTTTAACTGCCCATCAAGCTGTTTTTTGTATTTATACTTGTCAGTAAGTAGATTAAAAGTTTCTGGTATATAATTTTCATTTAATAATTTAATAATGTACATTTAATTTCTTATAAATTTTAATTATTAAAAAAAATCATGCCGATTTCTTTCATTCTTTCCCATAACTGCATTGTTGTCATGCAGACAATTTGGTTTGTTTAGCAAAGGGGGATAAGTCAAAAAGAAACGAAAGTAGAAAATTAAGTCAGGAACGTAACGGACAGGTTTCGAATTCCGGAAAATTTCTATTAATGTAAAACTGTTTAATTATTCCTTCAAAAAGTAATATGGAAGCGGGAAATATACATGTAAAGACAGCCAAAGTAGTTCCGGCTGCTTAGTGCAAGCGATCACTAGATTTTATTGATGCAGTTATCAAAATTTTTTTTATCCAATCAGAATCAAATATTTTATAGAAATTAAATGATAGCAAAATCTTTTCGAAACAATTCAAATTAATTAAACTTTTCAATACTTAATTATGTTTGGACAATTTCTCAAACGTAATATGAAAGAGTTTGTTTTTATAAGTATACGTTACTGTCGGCTTGACCTTGTTACTGTAAATAATTGATTAAGGTATCAGATATAATTCTATATTGTAAGAAGATTATTATAAAACTTTATGTTATAATTGTTTATTTTTTTTATATTAGTGTCTTGTATAAATATATGTAACAAAATAATGCTTACAATGCTGTCAAAAGTGTACAGATTGTTTGGATAATATATAAGTTCTCAAGTTTTACAATTTATGCGTTTACAATTTCTAAGCTTATTTTTGGTTATCCTGACATTCTTGTCATCTATTTATATTCCCTGACATAGTTCTGTTAAACTAATTTCTTTTAACATTTTTTCAAGTTTCACAGCTGCGTTATTTCATCACTCGATATGCTCTCTGGTCTACAAAAGAAAAAAAAATAATTTCAAGATACATGGTGTTTACAGGGTTAAAAGATTTTGTCCTTAGAACATTATAAAAATGCAATTTTTTTTACCTCTCTCGGCAGTTGTTGGATTCTAAAGACCTTTTAGCATCTGTAATTAACCAAACAAAATTAATATACTCAGTATTTTATACTCTTCCAGTCATGCCAAAGATCTCACTCATTAAGTAATAAAAAGGGAGGAAAATGATCATGGAAGTATTTTAAGAAAGTTCATATATTTATTTAAATGGTTAACCATAAAATAAACACAACGTAATTTCAAAACATCAAAATCGGAGTATTATTAACTTATATATGATACAAGTATGCATTATTATATAGATATTATTTGCTTGCTTTCTTCAAAATATGCGCGAAATTATTTTGTTGTCATTATTAAAACTAATTGTCATTTAACCTATCAAACATATTTTTACCCACACTTTCTGAAAAAAGGAAAGCTCGGGTATTTGTTAAAACCCTGGTGCGCCCGTCCGTTCGTCTGAAATCCTCTAATATTTTAATAAGTAACCAATTAATCTTTTTGACTATGATAGAGGTTGTCTTGTCTATGTAGACGTGAAATAACTTGTGGGATTTATAATTTTACTCTGGAGACCAAATATGGGTTAAAATGACAAACATTCAAGAACTAAATTTTATACAGTAGTCGTATTATCTTCTCGAAGGATATTGCTGGTTTCTTGTAGATGTGCAATAAGGGTTGAATCCCTCCATGAAGGAGTGTGCGTCGATATTGTGGGGTTTACTGTCTTATGACAGCAACTAGTTTTACAGTTACTCTCTTTTTCTTCAAAATTCCTTACATTATGGTTGAAACATGATAAAATTTCACCCTGATTGATTGCTTTATTTAACATGCCTCGTTATACTTTAAGAAAGTCAACACGCTATGCTTTAAAAATTATTTTCAAATTATAACCCTGTATAATGAAAGGCCCTATTAGATATTGGATTAATTGAGAACCATTTAGATTTTGAACATTCTGGTGAAACTACGTGCGGTGAATTCAGTTGAAGTAGCTAACTCATTCTCTCTCTCTCTCTCTCTCTCTCTCGATATATATATGATACTCACCTTGAGTATTGACATTTTCAGTCTTTGAAAAGGCTCTTTTTTCAAAACCAATGGAATTTCTAAAAAGGATAATAATTTTTTTTTTTAAAACATGTGAATTTTACTTAATGTGTTTTCAAAAGAGCCATTAAATATCCATAGAGAAGAAAATAATATTTTATTGTTGAACTACTTATAACTAAAAATTCTTTATAAGAGCTTGGCCACACCTTACCGAATAACGCTGATGGCAATTTTTAACTGTTCCTTGACTAATTTTCAAATAAGAATAGAATCAATGTCACGAAAGGTCCAGTGAAGTTTATTTCTCTCGAATTAAGGGTGTCCGTTCAAACTCTTTGTAAGAGCACAAATTTTTATTCTGAACTTCGCCATTAACGGTCGTGAAACAGATAAACGGCATGTGCTCTGCACGGCGACCATGCAAACATTGAACGCTACTAAGACGAGGAAAGCCGTTAACAGTGTTGTTTCCTTATTTGTCTGTAATCATACATTTTTTCATGTTTTATACGTTTTGATCGCAAGATTCTCGAAAAGCAGCGAGGGACGACCTTCTTCAACGTATTACCAAAGAATTGGGTTGTGCAACTGTTTTTATCCCCATTGAGTCTGTCAGAGCTATCAGCTAGGGTGTGACTAAGCCCTAAACAACAATAAATTCAACTATCTTAATTACATTAAAACGGAAATTCCTGAGGCTTTGGCACTGTTGGAATCATCTGTAATACAGAAAGCAAAGGTACTAATATCAATAAATATGTGTTCTTTATATTTTATATTTTTGAAAGATAATTTGCTAACATGTTAAATGCATACTGTCGTTCTTATCTTCTAAACTAAAAGGTAAATAACAATGTGTTTACAATAAAATTTAGTACCCAGTATAATTAACTTGCACATCCTGTTCTTTAAGGCTATGCATTTCCAATACCATTGCCTAAAGGACGTTCGATCCTGAGATTTTGAGTGGATTTTGCTCATGTCTTTTATTTATAAAATTCTGCATCATTTTAAGTTCTAACATTAGATCTGAATTCTACAATGCAAACTGAAATATATTCAATGAAAAAACCGCGATTCAATTCCATTCAAGTAGAATTAAGCTAGGGACTATATTTTGTGACGGAAGGTTTTTTAGACGAAAATGATCAGTTTTTTCCCTTTTGTAAACCAGTTATCACTTTATGGCACCTGATCCCACCTCTGATGTTTTGGAGGTTCGTGTTTGCTCTGCTCCTACTTTGTATTGTTTTATGGACTTTGATATTGAATACTGTTCGTTATCTCCATATCATTCATTTATAGCATTTGAAGCCTTAAAATATGCAAAAAACCTGCAAAATTGATTGTTTTCAAATTCATATAAAAGGAATTCTGGAGATTGCGATGAATTGTATGAATAGTACCTGAAACAGCAGAAGCGTCATGTATTTCTCCTTTTGTCTTCTCTTTTGAATTATCTGGACTTGAAAAATAAGGAGACAATTAAGATTAGGTCCCTGATATCACAAAATAAAAGATGTTGGATTAAACTTGATATATCATCTAGAAGCTGCCCAAAAATTTCATAGATATTAATTACAATACCTTGTAGAACAAAAATCTGAAGATTTTTCATTGTCTGTATTTTCTGCAATGAGAGAGTTTTACTTAGATAATTTACATGAATGAAAAACGTCTATTGCTTTAAGTTTCAGTTACATGCATATATAATGTCGTTGTTTTAAAAGTAAAGAAATTTCAATCCAACTGAATCCAAAATTATGTCCCGTAATGGAAGATTCGGGGGTATATAGTTTTCGTCCTGTCCGTCTAACTGTTTTTCCGCAAATACTTTAACCTTGTCCATAACATTTGACTGGATGAGGAAATGACTTTCATATTTACAGTTGTTTTCCTTGTGACAAGAGCTTTCTTTGGGTACCACCACATTTTACCTCTCAATCTTGATCTTTGAGTTTGACCCACTTTGAATAAAAACCTTAACATTAACTATGGTCACAAATTTTAAGCAGTTGGTACCTTTCAATTTGTATAAAGAAATACTGACCTTTCGACCTTAAATTTAGAGTTTGACCCACTTTTTAAAAACTTATTCTTTGAACATGACTTTTGGAACAGTTAGTGCCAGGGCTTATTTTTTTCACAGGTGTATTTCTTGTGAAAAGATTTTCCTCTTGATACCAACAATTTTGACCTTGACCCTGAAGCTCAACTTGCATATGAGAAACTTCACTTTTAATCGCCATACGCTGCCTTACGGAAGCATTATTGTTTCAGAAGCACATCTTGTTCTTAAAGGCTATACGTTTACAATACCATTGGTTAGAACATTTTTCCTTCGCGAGGTGCCATTATTGCAAATGTTTACAGTGAGATATTTAGCTTTTATTATTTTAGTTAAAATATGGAAAAACAAATGTCTTTCACAGGTAATTAGATTTGCTACACAGTGAGAATGGTTACTACATGTATCAATATTCAATATCTTCCACTTTTACATTACATCAAACTACTGTAAGTGTACATATATTGTGGTATTCAAAATTTAGCGCAATCACTTGACGTTCAGTTATTAACGTATTCAAGAATAAGCGCTACACACTTAGACGCTGTATATTGTATTTATACAGCACCTAATAAATGATATATTGTATTTGTTATAATTATTTTTTTAGCGGTACTCATAAACTAACGTACTGCTAAAGCCGCTAAAATATGAAGCCCGCTTCTTTTACTTACACATACAGTTTTTGTTGGTTGTATAAAAAGATTTAAATAAAAAAGTTTTTTAAAAAAATTAAAGTATTTTTTGTTTTGTTTTTTTAAACCAGTGATAAAAAGATACCATTTGAAGCTTTACAATGAGTAAGCTAAACAGCTGCAAAATGGAGACAACTGTTTTCAATTTCATAAAAAGGACATTATGGTGTTTACGATGAATTGTGATTGCAGTACCTGAAACAGTAGAAAGTTTATGTATCTCTCCTTTTGTTTTCTCCTTTGAATGATCTAGACTTGAAAATTGAGAAGAAAAATAAACATTAGGCTACTGATATCACAAAATAAAAGAAGTTATTCGGTTAAACGTATTATATCATCTAGAATCCCCGAAGAACTTAATCGTGTAAATCTCTTAGAAATGAATTACAATACCTTGTAGAACAAAAATCTGAAGATTTTTCACTGTCTGGATTTTCTGCAATTAAAGAATTTTACTAAGATAATTTACATAAATGAAAAACCTTTTGCTCTAAGTCTCAGTTACATGCAGATACTAGTATATTGTCGTCGTTTTAAAAGTAAAAAAAATTCTATCGGACAGAATCCAAAAAAACCCCCCCACAAAATTATGCCCCCGTAATTGAAGATTCGGGGTATATAGTTTTTGTCCTGTCTGTCTATCGTTTGACTTTTTTCCGCAAATACTTTATTATTGCCCATAACATTTGACTGGATAGTCGCGACTTTTGAACAATTAGTACTAAGGCTTTTATATTTGTATAAAATTGTAATCCTTGTTGAACATCCTTCCTCTTAATACTAACAATTTTTAATATGATCGTGGAATTTGTCTTGCATTTGAAAAAAATAAATTTTCACCATCGTTAGCAATATTATGGCATCAGTGTTTCACAAGCACTTGTTCTTTAATGCTATACGTTTACAATACTATTGCTTAACATATTTCCTCAGAGTTTGGTCATTATCCCTGAATTGTTTCCCGACATGACGTTTTTAGCTTTTATTATTTTAGGTTAGATATACAAAACCAACGGCCCTTAATTACTTATACAGAATAACGAGTAATGGAATTACTACAGAAATTCCACACAAAAAAAATCAATTATGAATTGCCAACACAGTGGCCATGGTATTATTAATGTACTTTATGCCAATTCATAATGAGTTACATAAAAATATTTGTTGAATGTGGAAAAAAAGATTTGAAAAGAAAAAGTTTAAAAAGAATTTAAAGTATTTTTTCGTTCATTTTTAAACCAGTCTTAAATATTTTACTATTTAAAGCCTTACAATAATGAGTTACATAAAAATATTTGTTGAATGTGGAAAAAAAGATTTGAAAAGAAAAAACCGCCGCAAAATGGATTGTGTGTGATTCACACACCAATAATTACACACAAAACTTAAAATAATTCCTTACATTTACACTTTATATGTTTGAAAGCACAAAAAATATACTCAATATTTGAATATCTCATTGTCATTTTTACAAATGTCACTGTTGCATCATTGTGACGTTAAGTTTCTACGTGCGAGTTTCTACGTGCGAGTTTCTACGTGCATGTTCTACGCGTGAGCATACACGAAAATGGTATTCAAATCACTGTTGGCTTACTCGAAAAAAAACAAACAGTGAGTATAAATATATTCATAAACAAGAGGCCCAGGGGCCATATCGCTCACCTGAGCAAATTGTCTAGGAAAAAAACACAAATCAGACCAGAACTGAAAAGTTTACTGAAAGGGGGGACTTGAATTTATTACTACTTTAAAATGCCTTCATTTTAATACAGCATATGACTTTGCTGTTCTTTATAAAAAGATTTTTTAAAAATATTTTCTTCTTGTACTATCACTAATCATTGCTTTAAAGTACTTAAGAAGACGATTTTTATTCCTATGTAAAACTTTGATCAGTCATTATGGCCCCACCCTACCCCGGGGGTCATGATTTCAACAAACTTGAATCTACACTACCTGACGATGCTTCCACATGAGTTTCATCTTTCCTGGCCCAGTGGTTCTTGAGAAGAAGATTTTTAAAGATTTTCCCTATAAACTCCTATGTAAAACTTTGATCGGCCATTGTGGCCCCACCCTACCCCCGTTGGTCACGATTTCAATAAACTTGAATTGACACTAGGATGTCACTAACTGAGGATGCTCCCACATGAGTTTCAATTTTCCTGGCCCAGTGGTTCTTGAGAAGAAGGTTTTAAAATATTTTCCCTATATACTCCTAAGTAAAACATTGATCGGCCATTGTGGCCCCACCCTACCCCTGGGGGTCATGATTTGAACAAATTTGAATCTACACCACCTGAGGATGCTTCCACATGAGTTTCATCCTTCCTGAACCAGTGGTTCTTGAGAAGACGATTTTTAAAGATTTTCCCTATATACTCCTATGTAAAACTTTGATCGGCCATTGTGGCCCCACCCTACCCCAAGGGGTCATGATTTGAACAAACTTGAATCTAAACTACCTGAGGATGCTTCCACGTGAGTTTCATCTTTTTTGGCCCAGTGGTTCTTGAGAAGAAGATTTTTAAAGATTTTCCCTATATACTCCTATGTAAAATATTGATCGGCCAATGTGGCCCCACCCTACCCCCGGGGGTCATTATGTGAACAAACTTGAATCTACACTACCTGAGGATGCTTCCACAAGAGTTTCATCTTTCCTGGCCCATTGGTTCTTGAGAAGAATTTTTTTTGATTAATTTTCACTAATTCATAATTATCTCCCCTTGGAAGAGGGGGTGGCCCTTCATTTGAACAAACTTGAATTTCCTTTACCTAAGGATACTTTGTGGCAAGTTTGGTTAAAATTGGCTCAGTGGTTCTTAAGAAGAAGATGAAAATGTTAAATGTTTAAAACAACGACAACAACGCCAACGACGACAACGACGACGACGACAGACGACGGACAAATTTTGATCAGAAAAGCTCACTTGAGCCTTCGGCTCAGGTGAGCTAAAAAGGCATTAAAGAGTTTACAATGAGTTTACAATGAATTGTGATTATATACCTGAAACAGTAGAAAGTTCATGATTTGCTCCTTTTGCCTTCTCCTTTAAATTATCTAAACTTGAAAATCGAGACGATAAATAAGCATCAAGCCACTGATATCACAAAATAAAAGAATATATCAGGTTAAACGTATTAAATCATCTAAAAGACTGTAATTGTGTAATTTTGTGTTTAGGAAAGATGAACAATACCTTGAAGAATAAAAATCTGAAGATTTTTCATTTTCTGGATTTTCTGCAATGAGTGAATTTTACTTATATAATTAACTTGAATTAAAAACGACTCTTGCATTAAGCTTCAATTACAATAAGATGTGTTATTGACGTTTAAAAAAACAAATTTCTTTCCATCTAAGGCCGAAATAAAAGACATATAATAATGACTTTGTAATTTAAAATTCAAAGGTATATTTTTTGTCCTATCTCTCTATTTGTTTTTTTTTTCCGCAAATATTTTTACCTTGATTATAATTTTTGACTGGATGGGGCTATGGTTTTCATATTCCAAAGGTGTATTTCTTATGAAAAGACCTTCCTCATACTACCAATAATATTGACCTTGACCTTGGAGTTTGATTTGCAGTTGAGAAACTTCAATTTTCACCATAAGCTGCCATACCGAGACATTACTTTCTCAAAAGCACATTTTGTTCTTTAAGTGTATGCATTTAACTACCATTTATTTAAACATCTTTGTTTAGAGAGGGGTCATTATCACTTATGTTTCCCGTTGCGTATTTGTAAGATTTGAAAATAATAAACAAGAGGCCAATGGGCCACATCGCTCACCTGAGCACGTAGGGTAGGAAAAAGTACAAAATAGCTTTTTATTGTAAAGTTTAAATCCAAAAGTAGTCCCATGACCAATCATGGATTTGCTATTTTTTAGAAAATGATTGTTAAAGAATTTTCCTATATATATCTTTAAAAACTTTGTCCGGCCATTTTGGCCCTGCCCTACCCCTGGGGATCATGATTTGAAAAAAAATTGAATCTACACTACTTGAGCATGCTTCCATATAAATATGATGAATTATGGCTTTAACATTCTTGAGAAGAAGATTTTTAAAGAATTTTCCTATATATTTTTATGTAAAACTTTGGTCGGCCATTTTGGCCCCGCCCTACCCCCGGGGGTCATGATTTGAACAAACTTGAATCTACACTACCTGAGCATGCTTCCATATAAATATGATGAATTATGGCTTTGTCATTCTTGAGAAAAAGATTTTTAAAGAATTTTCCTATATATTTTTATGTAAAACTTTGGTCGGCCATTTTGGCCCCGCCCTAACCCCGGGGGTCATGATTTGAACAAATTTGAATCTACACTACCTGAACATGCTTCCATATAAATATGATGAATTATGGCTTTGTCATTCTTGAGAAGAAGATTTTTAAAGAATTTACCTATATATTTCTATATAAAACTTTGATCGGCCATTTTGGCCCCGCCCTACACCCCGGGGTCATGATTTGAACAAACTTGAATCTACACTACCTGAGCATGCTTCCATATAGATATGATGAATTATGGCTTTGTCATTCTTCAGAAGAAGATTTTTAAAGAATTTTCCTAAATATTTCTATTTAAAAATATTTCTATGTAAAACTTTGGTCGGCCATTTTGGCCCCGCCCTACCCCCGGGGGTCATGATTTGAACAAATTTGAATCTACACTACCTGAGCATGCTTCCATATAAATATGATGAATTATGGCTTTGTCATTCTTGAGAAGAAGATTTTTAAAGAATTTTCCTAAATATTTCTATGTAAAACCTTGGTCGGCCATTTTGGCCCCGCCCTACCCCCGGGGGTCATGATTTGAACAAACTTGAATCTATACTACCTGAGCATGCTTCCATATAAATATGATGAATTATGGCTTTGTCATTCTTCAGAAGAAGATTTTTAAAGAATTTTCCTATATATTTCTATGTAAAACTTTGGTCGGCCATTTTGGCCCCGCCCTTCCCCCGGGGGTCATGATTTGAACAAATTTGAATCTACACTACCTGAGCATGCTTCCATATAAATATGATGAATTATGGCTTTGTCATTCTTGAGAAGAAGATTTTTAAAGAATTTTCCTAAATATTTCTATGTAAAACCTTGGTCGGCCATTTTGGCCCCGCCCTACCCCCGGGGGTCATGATTTGAACAAACTTGAATCTATACTACCTGAGCATGCTTCCATATAAATATGATGAATTATGGCTTTGTCATTCTTCAGAAGAAGATTTTTAAAGAATTTTCCTATATATTTCTATATAAAACTTTGGTCGGCCATTTTGGCCCCGCCCTTCCCCCGGGGGTCATTATTTGAACAAACTTGAATCTACACTACCTGAGGATGTTTCCCCATAAGTTTCATCTTTCCTGGCACAGTGGTTCTTGAGAAGAAGATTTTTTAAATATGCCACCAAATTTTCTTTAATTCCCAATCATCTCCCCTTGAATGAGGGCGTGGCCCTTCATTTGAACAAACCTGAATCCCCTTTACCCAAGGATACTTTGTGGCAAGTTTGGTTGAAATTGGCCCAGCGGTTCTTGAGAAGTCGAAAATGTGAAAAGTTTACAGACAGACGGACAGATGGACAGACAGACGGACAGACAGACGGACGCCGGACAAAATGTGATCAGAAAAGCTCACTTGAGCTTTCAGCTCAGGTGAGCTAAAAAGTAAAAAATAATTAAGCATTTTTTTGTACATTTTTAAGGCAGTGATTAATATATACCATTTAAAAATTTAGAATAGGCAAAACTGCCACAACTTTGTCTTTAAATTCATTTAAAAGCCGAAGGCATCATGGAGTTTCCCATGAATTGTACACTACCTGGAATAGTAAAAACTTTATGTTTCTGTCTTTTTGTCTTCTCCTTCCGATTATCTAGACTTGAAAATTGAGAGGAAAAAAGTATTTGTCACTGATATCACAAAATAAAAGAAGATATTTGGTTTAACGTGTTTTATCATCAAGAAGCTGCATAAACTATAATCGTGTTCATTTTATAGAAATTATCTACAATACCTCGAAGAATAAAAATCTGACGATTTTTCATTTTCTGGATTTTCTGCAATAACAAATTTTCATTCCGATAACTGTTTTAAACTTTAATTCAAGCAGATATGTTGTCACCGTTTTAAAATAAATTTATTTCAATCTGAACCCGAATTAAAAGACAAAATAATGACTCCGTAATCGAAGATATAGGGATACATGTATATATTTTTTGTCCAACTTGTCTGCTTTTTTGTTTTGTCCCAAAATACTTAAACGTTGCCCATTATTTTTGACTGGATGGGGACATGGCTTTCATATTTCACAGGTGTATTTTTTTTCAATGAAAGGTCCCATCTCTCATTATTAACCTTAACCTTGGAATATAACTGGTATTTGAGAAACTTCAATTTCACTACAGTCTGCCATACGGAGGCATCGCTAACTTACATGCACATCTTTAAGGCTATTCGTTACAAAACCATTGTTTGAATGCTAGTATATTTCCTTAGAGAGGGGACATTATTGCTAATGTGTCCCGTGATGTATTTAGCTATTAATATTGAAGGGTAAATAAAAAATCAATGTCATTTATTTACTGATACATACATAGTATAAAAAAAATGATATTGCTACTACATATCATTCTTTAGTCCCAGCTAAGTTGAAAAATTCCCAAAATTCCATACAAATTGATCAACTATGAATTGTAAACACAGGGGCCATGGTAACATTAATATGACGTTACGCGCGATGTTGGTGACGTTTGACGTTACGCTTTCATAGCGCTACAGAAAAATTGACGTAATGCTTCTAATAGTGTTACTTGCTTGACTGGTACCCTATCGCTTCCTCTTTGTACTTGAAATACGAGTTTAAAAAGTCATAGGCTACTAATATTTAAACTTATGAACATAAAAGGCGCTGGGATTTGTATACATATATGATAAATTTTAATAATTACTCGAAGCACTCTTAAACGCTTTTTCATGTATTACGTTGAAGCAAAACGAATTTTACGCAAAATCAATGAAATATTTAAAATCTATATGAAAAGCACATTATTTTGATATAATTTGTTTCTATTTAAAGTTTCTTGTAAATGAGTAAATTTATTGTTTAAATTGATATGCACGTTTTTAATTAAAAACGTTACAGATTCTTCATCTGTAAAAACTATCGCTCTCTATTTCTTGCCAATATTTAATGCAAAATCGTTAATACAGCCACAAACGAAATGGATTGCACTAGTTTTGAAAGGAAAATGAAAATTCTAGATTCACTTTTGAACGCTCTACACACGAAAAATGCATGATCCCTGCTAAATAATGTAACGCGTTACACGCTTAAAATACCTTTTATTTGCGCTTTAAAATTCTATTTTTTGCATAAAAACTATCTAAATGTTTTTTTCTTACTAGAATCAAGTAGTTCTGTTTAAACCCTATCCATACATACCAAAATCATCTATATTGCGAGTATATTTTAAAAATTACCGATGAGTTTAATAGGTCATATTCTAAAATTGTAAAATGGCACCTACACCGCGCGTAACGTCTGTACTTTATACCAATTTATAAACTTTCTTTTCATTTTTGATTTCATCAAAATATTTGTTGATTGTGAAAAAAGATTTAAATAGAAAAGTTAAAAAAAAACTTTCTTAAGGAGAGATGTTACAAACAAAAAAAACATAGATGCCGGGATTGGTATAGATATTTGAACCTAATGATGTGCAAAGATGTGAATATTAAACTTATTAATTGTTAAAAAATGTAAACTTTCTCGGTTGTTTATAAGTTTGCCTTTATGCAAACATCCTTATTATTCATTTAACAAAATTTTGTCACTTAAAGTCTAAGTATTGTGACACTTTGCATGAAAAATAAAAATCTAAACTGTTAAAGTTATTTATTTTAGTCCTGTGATGAATTAATTTGGTATTTACAAGATTTCTGACAAAAGTTTATTTGTAACATCTGTCCTTGAGTATTTTTGGTACATTTTTAACCTGTGATAAATATATACCATTTGAAGCTTTATACAACGCAAAACAGCTGCAAATTCATTGTTTTCAAATTCGTATAAAAAGGCATTATGGAGTTTACAATGAATTGTGATTATAGTACCTAAAACAGTTGAAAGTTCATGTTTTGCTCCTTTTGTCTTCTCTTTTGAATTACTTGTATCTAAACTTGAAAAAGATAAATAAACATTAGGTAACTGATACATGTATCACAAAATAAAAGCAGATATTTGGTTAAACGTGCTTTATTATCTTAAATCTGTGCAGACCTTAATCATGTAAATTTTATATAAATGATCTACAATACCTTGAAGTATAAAAATCTGACGATTTTTCATTATCTGGATTTTCTGCAATAAGAAAAGTTAATTTTAATAGCTCATATGAACGTAAAACGTCTATTGTTTTAAACTTTAATTCAGGCAGATATGTTGTCAACTTTTTAAACATAAATTTATTTCAATCTGAAACCGAAATAAGACATAAAATGAGACCCCGTAATCGTTAAGAAATAACTGTCTTATTTTTCGAATTCATGATGTGATCAATCAATTGCGTGCGTTGCGCTTGCGTGATTTTCGGCGTTTATGCATAAAAATTATCAAGCAAGCCAATTGATTGATAATCATCATGAAATTGAAAAATAAGACAGATATTCCTTTTATTGACATGGAATTGATTCCGCTAATCCACGTGCTACAAGCCGTGCTTCTTGTCCTTATTTGTCCAGCCTAGCACATGAATTTTTTAGCCGCGCCTATCGATGAACCAGTACATTGATGGAGAAATAAAGTACATTAACTATTTGTTATTTTATCTCGAACAAAGACATTTGCAATGTAAACATAGGAATATATATTTTTTGTCACATAAGCTGCCTTTTTTTTTGTTTTGTCCGCAAATACATTAACGTTGACCATTATTTTTGACTCCGTATTCAAAGATTCAGTTGTATATTTTTGTTCTATCCGTCTTTTCTTTAACCTTTACCATATTTTGGACTGAATGTGTTAATAGCTTTCATATTTTACAAGAGTGTTTCTTTGTGAACAGATTTTTCTACGATAACAACAATTTTGACCTTGAAGTTTAACTGGCATTTAAGAAACTTAAATTTTCACCATAAGCTGCCTTACAGAGAAACTATCTCACAAGCACATATAGTTTTGTAAGGCGAAGCGTTTACAATACCATTGCTTAGGAATTATACATCTCTCCTACGAGAGGGGTTATTATTGCTGATGTTTTCCGTGACGTATTTTGTTTTTCTTTTCTATTTTGGATTAAATATAATAATATTCACCGATACAAAGTATCTAGCAATGGCTACTACATAACATTGGTTAGTCTTGGTCTTAGTCGAGCTCTTGAAATTTCATACAAAAATAGGAATTATGAATTACCAATACAATGGTCATGGTATGATTTATGTAGATATACCAAATCAAAAACCTGTTTCCACTTTTCAATTAGATGATAGTACCTAAAGCAGTAGAAACTTCATGTTCTGGTCTTTTTGTCCTCTCCTTTTGATTATCTAGACTTGAAAATAAAAAGAAGAATAAGCATTATGTCGCTGATATTACAAAATAAATTACGATATTCGGTTAATTAAACGTGTTAAATCATCTACAAGCTGCAAGACCTTAATCATGTATTTTTCAAAGAAATGATAATTATACAATACCTCGTAGCATTAAAATCTGATGAGTTTTTATTATCTGGATTTTCTGCAATTAGAGAATTTGACGTAGATAAGTAACGTGAAAAAAGTCTTTTGTATTAATCTTAAATTACATGCAGATATGATGTCTACGTTTTAAGAATAAACACATCCAATCAAAAGAAATATGAGGGTTGTCCCAAAAAGTCGTTGACAGGGAAAACTCGTAATTAAACATTATCCAATGAGTCCAAAATAAAAGAAAAAAGAACATGTTTCAGATTTGGATATTTTGGTATCTACTGTGACCAACCTGTGGAAGGATTGACAGCTTGATTTTTAATACAGTCAATCAGAAAGACATGCAGACAACAGGTACTTTTTCAATGTACGAGTTATGACTTTTGTAATCTCAAAAAAGGGCGTCAATGCAGGCCAGTTTCTTAACAGAGTTCAAGTCATTCCTTCATTTAATCTTTCTGAGGCAAGTTTATAATGGTTTTATTTTTACTTCGATTTTGAGACGTTTCGTTGTATTCTCATTTTCATTTCTACAGCTCCCACTGTGGGACGTGGAGACAGGTCTTTCTGACGAGACCGTATAAACCGAGGTCCCGTGTCTCAGTAGGTGCTGGCACGAAAATATACCTCCCTGCTAAATGGCAGTGAGTGTTGAGCATAGGACAAAATTTGCATCTCTTCACCGGAAAGTTATGGCGTCTCGATATAAGTGAGAAATTCTCGATGGGGACGTTACACAGCATTCAATCAATTAATAATTTCAACAGGTAATCTGACCTTTTCTGTCATGGTCAGCATCTGATGAGATATTAGGTACGTTCGAGTCAGTATTGGAAAATGTTTCTTCTTCCGAGACCTTATTTTTGTCGCCTCTTGGTGGCAGGTCAGGTTTTCTTGAAATATTTTCTTTGGTTTTAAGATCAGCATTTCCATCATTGCTTTCTCTAAAATTGAATATAATTGTTAATTTCTTACCTTCAATCTTTCAATGGGAAGTCGGTGACATGTAACATGTATTCACAATTTTAATCCTTTTGTTTTTAGGTTTGTAAAGGTAATGTGACTTTATATAAAAATAAAAAGATAAATAATTTTTTACACTAAATCTGTCTGTTTTCTCTGTATTTTATTTGATGGATCTAAAAATAGAACAATATCTTTAAATGTAAAATCATTGCACTTCGACATGTTTCAGAGTATAGACTGTATGCATGTAATTCAATCTTTAAATTCAAGCTGTCCACCGTGTATAAAAGAATAAATGACATTCAATGGTATAATGGAGGTGACGGAGTCACAGATATATGTAACCGACAAATATGGTTAAAATTTGTAAAACATTGGAAACCTTAAAGTGGTAGATACTGATCTTTCAACGATCAGAAAGAAATACTGAGTAGTTTCCGTGGGGTAAATTCTCGTGTTTAAGGGTAAAAGAAAATTCACACGAGTCTGATTTTGGGGTCGAAGGAGAAGACTGATTTTGTGATAAAAACATTCAACCTGAAAAATCGGTATACAGGAAAGAAACATTGTAAGTTCAGGTTTGGCAAGATGAAGAACCCCAAGACAAGTCTGGTACCGCGGAAAACCGACAACGCAGTACTCTGAATATGCAAGTATTTCTATTCAACAGGTGACTTAAAGGTGTTTAGAATAAAATTACTGGATATAGATGGGACAAATATGTTATATTAAACTGGATATAGATGGGACAAATATGTTATATTAAAAATTCAAATCTAAAGTTTAAACTTATCTATAACTTGATAGTTATAGATAAGATTAAACTTTGGATTTAAATTTGTAATGTAACAAAAATACATATACATGCCATCAAACACACACAGCACCCCTTACACACAATTTCTACCTTTTATTGTTTCATAACGATTGCCATTCTCAGTATTTTCCGTTCCAATTTCCTCATAGTGATGAGTCAATTCTACATAACCGCTGCTTGCTTCCGTCTGCTGTTCACTCTTTTTGGTACAACTACTTTGACCAGTGTTCTTATTCTTTCTATAAATTGCAGTATTGTATATTAAACTACTTTTGTTTTAGAAAATTTAAAAAATAACTGATTTTCATCTGGGTATTCGTTGCATTGCTGTATAGGAGTAGAATGCACTTACATGGTTCTATTTTTTCCTTTAAAGTAAATATAAACGTCTATAACATTTTTGTCTCACCGCAGATTTTTTCTATCGAAATAAGTCGTTCCCCTATCTATATTGTTTTTACATTTCTTATCATATCCAAAAGCGTCCACTACAAAGACCCCTTTGACTCCAGAAAGTTTTGTCAAATTATTTGATAGGGTAAAATACAAATTCTGTAAAAAAAATATGCATATCTTCTCTTTCCTAATTTAACAATCTTATGATGTTTAAAAAATTCACAAGTTTTTTTTTTGGAACACTCTCACATCAAAAATTAGCTAGAAAGAGGTTAAAAGAAATCACCATGAGATACCTCGACCTGACCAAATCTTTGCAAGGTCTTAATTTGTTAAAGTGTAAAGCTAATAACTCTGCATCAAGATGATAATTTTTATTAAGAGCAATCAAATAATTGTTTATGTTTAAAAAGTGTACCTTGAGTCTGTGTTACTTCTTTCAATATCTGCCGAAACAAAGTTGTTTAATAATAAACAATAAGAAAAATAATTTTTTAAACATAATATAAAGATAATTAAAAATGATTCCTAACTTAAGGTCAAGATTTAGCAAATGAAAGGTGCCTACAGATTTTTTTTCAAATTGAGAAACGAAACTTTACAAATATATCTTGGTGAAATAAGGTGTTTCTGGACATAATTTTTTGATAAACTAGATTAAAACACATTTTAAATAGTAATTTTTATTGAAAAACAAAGAAAGTCATGTATGAATTTAAGATTTTTTTTCATCTTAGTTAAAAGAAATGTAGCAATATTGTCTACAGTCTTTCAGAAAACAGGTTTTTCGTCTTTTCTAAACCTCTACTTCACAATGGTTATTAAATAGAGCATAGATATCACTGGTACTTTCGACGTGATTTAAAATTGAGTACAATGAAAAGGCTTCATTTTCTACATACGTTCACCACAACTGTAAAGTATGTGTAAAATTAAGCTTTAATCAATTATAACGTCATAATTGATCTAGCACCGAAAAGACAAAAACATTTGCTAGATCTTGAGCTTAAGATACTTAATTAACATCTGATATCTTCTTCCTCACCTGTCTTCACTGGAGTGAGGTATCTTCCGTCATCGTGCAAACGTTGTTTGTCTAACGTTACATATCGCTTTTCCCTTTTCGATTCTTTGAATGGTTGTTCGTATTGGCTACCTAAAAGTATTATTCAATTAAATAATAGATATCTTCATATATCAATGTCATTGTGTGGGTGTAAAGGTGGGTGAGTGTATGATAGGTTTGTGAGGGAGTGTTTGTAAGACCGCAAAAACTCACTACACGCACTAGATAACACTCCAGCAATTCACTACATTTTAAAAAGTCACTACTTACACTCGTGACATTCGTGTAACTAGTGATTTTTTTAAAATGTGGAAAACGGAATTTTGGGTGATTGAGTGTGGGTGTGGGGAGAATGTGTACACTGTATGTGTGTGGGTGGGTTGTTGGATGGGTGTGTTTGTGTGTGCATTAATGGTTCATCCTTGTTCTTATTAATTAATTCTTTTAAAGTGTCTAGATAATCTTCTCAAATCCACAAAGTTCATGAAACTACATATTCATATGAATTAAAGCCGTTTTCACCAAGAAAATGATCATGCGTGCAAAAACGATACTGACACCACAAACAACACTTCTAATACATGTAACATTGTTCGATTTGTTTCAGCGATCGAAGATACCAGCATATATCGTAGTAATTCGACCGACAATTGTCATATAAAAACGAAAGGAAAACAGGGAAATTAAAGTTTTATATAGTAATTCCTTAACTTTCTGCAGAAGAAGTGCTTCAACGAAAATCTTATTTTAAGGTTCATTAACCCTTTGCTCACTCATATAAAATGTTGCTTGAACCTTATTGATTTTCCAAAAAAAATGCATTTTATAAGTAAAATACAAACAAACAACTATAACATAGCTTGCGGGGCAAAATTAGACAGAACAGACAGTTCAACTTGACAAATCTATAAACTTAAGGAATAATAGATATTCATGTTGTTAAGAATTATCTCTCATATCAGAGTATCGATGGACTTTAATAACAGTAATTCGAACAATGCGATAAAATAATGCTGTACTTTTCAATAGTGAATATGATTTGACATTTGCCATAAAAATATCAGTATTCACATCTTCTGGTCAATGTTAATCGACTAAAATGCATATAGAGTTATTATTGAAATACTAAAATATTTATCGATTAGATGGAATGATTATATCTAGTAATAATTTAATTTCAGTTGTAACGCGTCATTTGATTGGTTTAACGGTTTTATCCATTTTGTATAACATAACTTGCCTACGTCACAATGAGTTACGTCAAAAACGTATCACTCCGCTTGACGTTACTTTTAAAATAATGCTCACTTTGAAGCCTTTTTCTAGAGAAAATATTGTCTCATTGTCTACATTGAAATTAAATTATAAGAAATGAAGCTTATTTCAACTTATGTTATCCGATATAACAAAACTTGGGGCAGTTTACGCTTATTTATAAACCGCTTCGCGGTTTATAAAGCGTAAACTGCCCCAAGTTATGTTATATCGGATAACATAAGTTGAAATAAGCTTCATTCCTTAATTATTTTAAGAATAATAAATTCATTGCCCACCTTTTTCATTTTTCTGAAAAAAAGAAAAAGTAAAAACATGTAAAGATTGACTTTTCGTAAAAAATACATACATTTTTTAAAGTTTTGGGGTTTTTTTTTTTAGAAATAATTGCAAATATTTGTTATATTAGAAACACTCATTTGTTTACAATGAATGAAATACCTTTGATTGATATTTTCTTCTTCGGTAACAGACAACCGCCATAACCATAATAGAGAGAAAAACAACAATACCTATCGCCGAAGAAACAACTGTCGTGACTGTCGTGTCAGTTTTATTCTCCTTATAGTTCACTTAAAAAAATAAATCATTCTTTTTTATTCATAAAAGATATGCATGTCGAATGTTCAAATCTTTGAAAGTATTCAAGAGGATGTTAACACGTGTGAATGTTTAACCTGAATCTCTTCATTGATTTAAAAAAGTCTAAAAAAAAATCTTTAGAAATAACTTATTGAATCAATTTCTAGTGGCCATTTGTACAAAAAAATTTTATGACTAAGTAAGGAAAATAAAAACTCATTATATTTATTTCTTAATAAAGATACAACAAAACTCTAAATATTGTAATTAAGGGACGCCAGAACTTTATTTGTAAAAAAAAAAATAATAAAGGTGAGGCACCCTCAGATATTGGATGCAAAAACAATCAAATCATAGGTAAAAGAAATTGTATGAAATATACAGAAATCAGTGATAAGCAAATTGAGTCGTTAATCTCAACTTTACCTGGTGAATTTGAACCATCACTCTTAATCTCAAAGTAGAAGTTTTCTGTAAAATATCCGTTTTCCAGTTCTATTGTGTATTGCCCTATTTTTTCTGTCGTGACACTGAATGAATAAGTCGCATTTTGCACTGGTAATGAAACATCGACACCATGGAAGCTGATATAGGACATATAACTGTGTAAATTCATGTCAATTCTTGCTGTTGATCCCCTTTTGGATAACCTCGCGTGTTCCAGCGGCGGAAAGCTGAGGACTGTTACTTCTATTTTTACATCCTCACTAATTCTTAATTCATATAATTTCAATCCTGCTACGATGTACGGTGAACCTGTTTAAATATGAATATTTATAAATTTAAAAAAAATTGCTAGTACAATTTCCGATAAAACTTAAGATTTTGAACATTATTATCCAGTAAGATCATCAGACTGATTAATCATTGAAAGATCTAAACACTACCGAAAATACAAAAAGCCCATAGGCCACATAGCTCACTTGAGTAACTTGAATGTTGGAGTTCTTTACCAGATTTCCCATCTTGTTATACCTATTGTGGCCTCTACCCCCTCCACTGTCATGATTTTTATACTCTAGAATTTAGACTGCCCCAGGATGCTTCCACATAAGTTTCGGCTTTCCTAGCCCAGTGGTTTTTGAGTAGGAGATTTTTAAAAAGATTTTTCTATATATTACTATGTAAAACTTGGATCCCCTATTGTGACCCGCCCTACCCCTGGAGTCATGTTTTTTGAAAAAATCAGAATTTATATTACCCCAGAATACTTCCACATAAATTTCAGCTCCACTGGCCCGGTGGTTCTTGAGAAGAAGAATTATCTTTTAAAGACTCCCTATATATTTCAATGTAAAACTTAGATTCCTTATTGTAGCCCCGCCCTACCCCCGGGGTCATTATTTTAACAATTGAAAATTGACAATATCCAAAGATGCTCCCACATAAGTTTTAGCTTTCCTGGCCAAGTAGTTCTTGAGAAAAATATTTTCGACGTTTTTCCCCATATATTTCTTTGTAAAACTTGGATTCTCTATTCTGACCCCGCCCTACCCCTGGGGTCATTATTTTAACAATTGAAAATTGACATTACCCTAGGATGCTTCCACATAAGTTTTCGCTTTTTTGGCCAAGTGGTTCTTGAGAAGAAGTTTTTTAATGAACCCAACCTATTTTTGTCTTTTCTTGATTATCTCGCCTTTTAAGGGGAAAGGCCCTTCATTTTAACAATTTAAACTCTTTACCCAAGGATGTTTTGTACAAAGTATGGTTAAAATTGACCCAGTGATTCTTGAGAACTTGAAAATGTCAAAAGTGTACAAAATGACAGACGGACGGACGGACGATGGACATTGGGTGATCAGAAAAGATCATTTGACCTTCAGCTCAAGTGAGCTAATAATTCTAATTTACCATGCACAGACAGATTTCCAGTTCCTTTAATTAGAATGTCACCGTCTCCATCCGTTATGCCATTTGACACAAAACAAGAATACTGTCCCGTATCAAATATTGAAATCTGCAAAGCAAAATTGTTTTCATTTCATCCAAACAAGTTATCCTCGTATTTTTTTAAGGAGCCATTAAATGAACATTTCATTAAAACGATAGATAAATATGCATTCAAATATTATTACTTACTTTAGTGAAATTCAAATGATTATCAGTAATGTTTATTGTTCTAATTAATATTCCTTCTACTCGGTGTTCCCATCCTGTCACGTTATACTTTGCAGGTTGCCCAATCTCTACAAGGCATTTTAATTGAATATTGTCACTTTGATTAACCATCTTTCCTATGATTCTTGCTTCTGGTGGGTCTACAAATGTGAAAAAAGAAAGTCATAAAAAAAATATACGACGAAAAGAAAATGTTTTCGACCAAACAATACAACTGAATTAAAAAAAAATGCAAAGTTTTTGCCACTTGCAGGGCAGAAAGCATTTAGTTTTCGAATTATGGGTTCAAAATTTTGCTCATGTACTGAAGGAATAACTTTTGTAAAATACCAGGATTAATATATTACCAGCTAGGCCCATTGGGTTCAGTATATACTCACATACCGACAAGTGCTCGTGAAAATGCCTTTGGGGATATTATGGATAAAATGATATTTATTATCAATTCAGATAAATTATTCATTTTAATTGTAATTTTTACTTGAGTCACTTTTATTCTCTTTGAACAATTATAAACTATAATGCGTGTCCATTGAGTTTTTCAGATGATTCTTTCATCAAAGAATGGATATTTTAGAACAAAACACAAAGACACATTCATAAGATGGATACTTTATCATATAACTAAAAACTCTATAATAGCATTAAACCTAAAAATCATTACCTTCATAAGAATAGCAATTTTAAGGAACTTACACAACACTGTCATGTTGTATTTGATCTCTGCTTTCATTGTCTTGTTCAAGTAAGAAGATGTTGCTCTACATGTTATCTCTATACTGTCCGTTCTTTTCAAGTTATGAAACTGAATTTTACTTTTCCCTGAACCTTGTTCTATTTCTGAGTCTGAAGTTATGATCCAAGAAGTAGTCGGCATTGGTCGGCCTGTTGCGATACACTGAAGCTCAAAATCATAATGTTCTATTGGGTTCAATGGTTTAGATGATATTTGAAGAGAAGGGGGCTCTGAAAATTGCATGTTATGAACAATTAAAATAATATCTCTAAACTTTGAAATTAAATTGATAAAACTTTATTGAAATGTACGTAAAAACCATACATGTACCTGCATATATGACAACTGTAGTCTCTTCTTTCGGTGAAATCAAACCATTGTCGGTATAGTAAAATCCTATACACTCATAAGAGGAAAGATGGACTGGGAATTTAACGTGCAAAATAATATTATTGCCTGTGCATAAAAGATAATAATTCGAAGTAGTTTTATTTGTACATGATGTGACTGAAAGTATTTCTTGGTCATTATCTGACTTTTTCCATGTACATCTGCTCCATTTGGGGTCCATTGTACAGTTAAGTTCAGCAGGGTCTCCGTACAGCACATCTGTCTGATTAGACAACTCTACGTATGGACCTTAAAGATTTTTTTATAAAAATCTCTGAAACATCAATTTTAATCATACATTCAGAGAGAGAGAGAGAGAGAGATTATTAAAAAATACCTTTTTGGATCTATATACAGTATGTGCTTCTAGTGGTGTTGGGGATATTGCTTTAGGTACATTTATTTAAGTGGTGAAAATATCTTGAATCTAATAAATTTTTTCTGTGTTGTTGATTTAAAATTACATGCACATATATACAGCTTCTAGAAGCCAAATTCAGCTTCATTCAAAATAATTATATGAAATGCATAATGACTAATAATACCAATAATATCGACTTTGGTACGATTTTGTCGAATCTCATTCCCAGAAAACACAGCCAGACATTCCCATGTATCATTCCTTTTAGGATTAACATCAATTAAAGATGAAAAGGTGATATTCTCCCGTTTTTCACATGTGGCTTTCAGAAAATCCCCATTTGTTATCGTGTTGCAGTTGTTTTGATTGAAGACGAATTCATAGGTTTGGACATTTTTTCGCCAAGACAAAGATATCCAGTCGTTGTTGGTTTCACATTCAAGATGCAGTTGTCTTCCATACCGTACAGGTGCAACAGGATACGGACGAAGTATAATGGAATATATGCCTTCATGTAATTTCAATAAAATACTTTCAAAAAATGTGTATTTAATTTTTTGTGTAAACAAAATATTAAAAATTTTAAATAATCCAAAATAAATCATTCAAAAATACTTACTTTGTATGTTCACTATAAGTACAGTAAACCGGGTATACATCTCTGAAATTGAAATTAAAGTATAAAATATATCAGGAACAGTTTTGCAAACAAAACAATTACATACAACAATGAGCATTTTATTTCTCATACTTCTTTATTTTAAATCCTTTATAGTTGCCTATTTTGACTTAAGGTAGGATTCTTCTCTGGTTTCTGACTAGATGTAACATTCAAATTATATTTGCTTATATGTCTTATATATTGAGGTGTAAGGAATTTAATAGACCATATTTTTCTTTCCTCGTCACAATTGTACAACTTTAAATAGAAATGATAAACTGCGTTTGAAAACTAGCAGGGACTATATTTTTGGCGGAATGGTGGCGTATGAAAATATCTTCTTTTCTGCCTCTCAAAATTATAATAGAACAATGAATTTAGTTATAATTTTTACACAATCGAAGACTTGGGGAAATTTTCAAATGTAAGTTAAATTAATAATAAAGGAATAAACTTTCAAATTATATAAAAAAAATATGATTTTTCAAACAAACTAGAACTATGTTAACTTTTAAACGCTTCCTATCAAAGTACAGATTTGAGCCAAAAATCCATAAAAAGTATTTTTTCTCTCTTAGTAAACGATCAAAACTTTTTGTTTTTGTATCATTTTGTACATTTATAAGGCCACTTTATTATATGTGAAAATAAGAAAAAGTTAAATATAGGAAGCATATGAAAATAACTAATATATCCTAAAAAATTAAGAAAAACAGAGAAAATTTGGATTAGCCAATATCCAGTTAAGTTAAATTATTTATGTAAATTTGGTAATATCATGCCATAGACCTGGTATAGTAATATGTTGTTATGCAAAAAGAACAATCTTTAAATTTTTGAAATAGAAGTAGGTATCACATGATTGGCAACAGTATTTTTTTATTCCGAATGTCAAAGAAAAAGATAATGACTTTGACCTGACCTTGCCTCTAATATAAAACGGTCAAATTTAATTTAACTGATACTATCACTTACTGATATTGTCTTCTTGATTCTGTGAAAATTTCATTAATTTTTAGATATTAGAAATATGAGAAGAATCCTACCTTAAGATGCAGAAATATTCGAGTTTTAAGTTTTTTTTTCGAAGATTAGTAAGACTTGAGAACAATACACTTGAAAAGAGTTTTTAAAGATATTTGGGGTGATATCCTCATAAAGATATTTGGGGTGATATCCTCATAAAGATATTTGGGGTGATATCCTCATAAAGATATTTGGGGTGATATCCTTATAAAGATATTTGGGGTGATATCCTCATAAAGATATTTGGGGTGATATCCTTATAAAGATATTTGGGGTGATATCCTCATAAAGATATTTGGGGTGATATCCTTATAAAGATATATGGGGTGATATCCTTATAAAGATATTTGGGGTGATATCCTCATAAAGATATTTGGGGTGATATCCTCATAAAGATATTTGGGGTGATATCCCCATTAAGATATTTGGGGTGATATCCTTATAAAGATATTTCGGGTGAAATCCTCATAAAGATATTTGGGGTGATATCCTCATAAAGATATTTGGGGTGATATCCTTATAAATATATTTGGGGTGATACCCTTATAAATATATTGGGGTGATATCCTTATAAATATATTTGGGGTGATATCCTCATGTGGTACAGAACTTTAAGAATTTACGGCTCATTAGTGGACCCTGCAAATCAACTTTAAACCTGTGCTTACATCCTTTACATAGTGTAGGATCTTTTTGTACCATCACCTGACGCAAAACGGTACATCGGTTAGATTACAGCCTCAGCATGGACTGAACTCCATGCAAGCCCCGATAGGATTTGAACGCCCAAGATATCACAAAATATATATGTAAATTCTTGTAATTTAGAATACGGATCTTGTAAATTCTAGGGTGGGGGGAGGTAAAATTCTAAAGCATCCTTATCGATCAGTCAACCGCCTTGAGTACTATTCAGGTAGAAAAATATTCGGTAGTCAAAGTAACATTTAAACAAATGTCACTTTTACAAAATAACAAAATAACACTTGCTTTAACAGGTGGAGGCAACTAGATCACCTGACGACAGCATAATTTGCAGATGAATTAGCTGTCTGTTTACTTTACCCTAGTGGGTAACACTAGTAGTTGAGATGTGTAACTCGGTTACGAAAAGAAAATTAAATACAATGCCGAATTCATGCTTAAAATTTGCTAGAACCACAGTTTACAGAACGAATTCACAAACACTACGAGCTACGTTTTGATGCCGACAGTGATGTGCCGACAGATGATTTGTCATATATATTCGTTTACATGAGGGGAAAATCTTATTCATTTAAATATTTCATTACGAGTTTTAAGTATTATTCAAACAAAATATTGATAATGATGGGTGCCAATTGTAAAATTTAAAGTCTTAGTTAAACAAGAGATATTGAAAATGCTCGCTTTTTTTTCTGGGACAACCTTCGTACATACCTTAATCAGATCTATGTTTAGAAAAAGTTGGGATTTCCTTTTACAATGTCCACAAAGCTTATCACAATGACAGATTTGCAATAAAATAAGGGCAATAAATATTCAGAAATAATTTCCTCGTACCTGGTATTTTGTTTATACAGAAAAAACTAAATCATGATTAGATAAGATAGAAGTTTGGTTAAATTCTGCACTGGGCTTTGTGGGGGACAATAACAGTTCTAGGAGCGAAGGAGAAACTCCAAGAGTACTGTAGTAACTTCTGGACAATTTGAAATCACGAGATTTTACCAAAATCAACAGCTTAAAAACGCATGACGTTCAACTATACACACAACCATTCTCCACGCGATAATTTAAAGTTTAGGCTTTTTGATATCATTCGCAGCTACCTTTTCAATAAAATGGAACGTCATTGGTCATTTCCAAAGTAATTTTGTTAAAGAAGACATTCTGATTGTACACACAAGTACTTTGAAGTTGACAAGATGTTGGAGGCCCGTTTTGCTCGGCTCCTACTTTGTATTGTTTTATGGACTTTTGATCTTGAATCCTGCTCGTTATCTCCATATGTTTCATATATCAATAGCTATACATCTTTCTTGTAAAACAAGTCTCGTCTCCTTTTATATTTGCTAAAACTGTAATAAACATGACATTTTAGAAAAGAATTTAATCTATTTTAGTTTATTGGGATTGAGTATGTAATTAAGGAGCAAAGTATTGCTCTATTGTTAGTTTGTATTTTTTAACAGGGTTTTTATAATAATTATACTGTTTATTTTCATTTGTATATGACTTGGATATGTGAATCAGATGTGGATACATTAAACTCCAGGCTTTTTGATACCATTTACAGCTGCTTTTTCAATAAAAATGGAACTCGTAAATTAACTTATATGGTCATTGGTCATTTGCAAAATTATTTTAATAAAACACATTCTGATTGCACACACAAGTAATCTGAAGTTGACATCAAAGAGATGTGTGAGTTTCTGATTTACAATTTCTATGTGGTCTTTGGAGAGCAGGTATTCCAACAATCTATTGCAATTTCAATGGGTAATAATTGCGCTCCATTATTAGCAGACCTATTTTTACATTCATATGAAGCAGAATTTGTGCAAAATCTTATGCGTGAAAAAAAGAAAACATTTGCTGTGGCCTTCAACTCGACATTTCGATATATCGACGACATATTGTCTATTAACAATGGTTATTTCCATTCCTACGTCGATACGATATATCCTGGTGAGCTTGAGATAAAATATACCAAAGAGTCTGACACATCTTCTTTATACTTGGATATTTAACTTGAAAAAGACGTTAATGGTAATCTAACAACCAAGCTATATGACGAAATGAACAAATTTTAAAACGAGGTAAATTATTGACAAGCAAGTTGATGAAACTAGAATATCAGCAGTCTCGTTTAAAGTCATCATTTCGTAAGTTCTATGGTCGATACAACGACCTTGTCAGCAAATATAATTTATCATTAAGTCAAATACTGACTGACGTTTTTCATTTTAATTGTTAGTCCATTATTTATAGACTGAATTGACGATCGACGAATTTTCCCGTTATTTTCTGATCATGACAAGGAGCTGACAGGGAATGCTCGCTCCTCCATGGCACCTGATCCCACCTGTGTTGTTTCGGAGGTCCGTGTTTGCTCTGCTCCTATTTTGTATTGTATATGGACTTTAATTTGAGATTGAATACTGTTCGTTATCTCCATATCCCTCTTTTATGTCTTTCAACTGATTTTATACGCATTTTTTTAAGAGAGGAAAATTATTGATAAATATTAAGTTGATGAAACAAGCTTGTTTGAAGTCATTAAAGTTGATACAATGAACGATTTTCCTGTTTTCCGATCATAGATCACACGGCGGGTGTGACCGGTAGGCAGAGAATGCTCATTCGTCCATGACACCTGATTCCATTCGTGAAGGTTTTGGAGGTTCGTGTTTGCTTTGCTTCCATATAAAAGAAATTTGAGCCAAATAATATTTCATAATCACCATTTTTCACTTCACATTCCATAGATGAACTTCAAAGGAAAAGAGTTCACTATTAATACTCGTAATCTTGGTCTGAAAATAGTATCTAACTTGAAACGCTTAGCTAGGGGACATGTATTAAAAAATACCAATGTAGCTATGAAGACATCCAATAATCAATACTTTATATGACAGTAAATCATAGATAAGATAAAACACCGTTACCCATTCTAAATTCGAGAGTCGTGATTTTTTTTTTTTTTTACAAAAATCGCAATGTGAGATTCAAGATTCAATATAATTATATTTTTATTTCTTCGACTCAAAATAAAGATAACAAAATATAAATAAGAAAAACAAATGGGTAAAAGTTTTTTAGTGTTTGACGTCCCTTTTGAGATTTGTTTCTCTCATATTCAGAGCCATCACTTGCTGGTTAAGAGCTTCAAATTTTACTCGGCACTCCGGGTCATTGGGCAATGGATCTATATCGTGCCGCATCTACTGCGACAAGGGTCCTGGGTTTATTCGGTCTCATCAGAAGGACCGGTTTCATAGGTTACATAGAATTTACCCTACACAATATAAGTATACTCGTATATAATGTGTTACTGTTTTATGATTTTGAAACGAAACTATACCTTAACATGTGTCAATGTTCAACAAATTAAGGTAAAGGAAAATCTTTTATCGATGGGCAATTATAATGTTTCTTTAGAGTCAGCTAGTTGCAAAATTATACTCTAAAGAAAATTAAAAAAAACGAGACAAGTTATTGACAAACAAGTTGATACAATCCGTGAAATCGAATGCTTTCTGACATTTTCGACTTTTTTTTACCATTTAACCGATCATATCAGGGAGAAAACGACAGACGTTACCAGTCGACAAGGTATGCTAATTCCACCACAATATTGTCAAAAATATTCAATATTTTCGATTGTTCGTGTGTTAACAAAATTTTATTGTTCAAAAGAATTCTTTTCATAATCGATCACTATTAATTATCTTCACCTTTTCATTACGAATATAGACAGACACTAGAGGAAATTCGAGTATTAATTCTGATATAAATTTCTGTACAACATCGTGCAGATTGTAGCCATTGTACAAAATAAAATTGATTAGTGATGAATACTGTAAACCAACTTTTAATCGCGACGACTTTATTTCGCGATTTACCTTGAGAGAACCAGTTCGCGACGATAAATTTTCGCGATAAAGCCTATTTAGGTTTCTTTTTAATAGACAAATAGACTTTAAGAGCCGGTTCGCGGCGAGAAATATTCGCGATGACGAGGCTCTCGCAAACTTCGCGAAAATTTCTCGCACGCGAATAAAAGTTGGTTTACAGTATCTTCTCTGATATCCAATTTCTTCAAAAATGATTTTAATCGGTGGCCTTCCAATTACGGTAAATAGAGCCGGTGTAAAGACGAATAATGACCCCCGTCGAACAATACCCGTAGAAAAAAAATCATTTTTTGTAGAAAAAGTGTCCTAGGGGTCATTATTTTATATGTTAGTCCTATAAAAAATTGACCCCTTTAAAGTGAAAAGAGATTCTTTAATTGTCAAGTAAATAAAATTTCTTTTTAATATTTCTCCTTATAATGTTTGCTTTAAGAATGATATCCCACTTGTTTTTAGAAATCAAACAATCAGGTTCGAATACTCTTTAATAGAAAAATTATTTTTTCCTTCATTTCAACTTTTAGCTTGTATAAGTTTGGCAAATCCTATTTGACAATGAAAGAGGAAGAAATTTTTAAACCCCCCCCCCCTTTGTTTGAAAGGTAGGTTTTGTTGATAATCAACTTCCTCCTAAATAAGTAAGGGGGTGGGGTGGGTATAACACCTAAAAATATGCTCTGTAAAGCTATGGGCTAGTGTAAAATACACATTCTAATGCAAAAACTATACATGTAGACATAACCTTTTGATTTAGCACACAGTATTCATTATATTTCTTATTTTTTTGTTTTACTCCACGATTTAACCCAGTTCTGAGTATATTTTTCAGAGAATTTAATATGAAAATCAGAACAAACATTTTCATTTTTGTAACGTCTTCTTTATACTGTATCATAATATGAAAAGTTAATTGAAGACCATTTCTTTTTATGTCCCTGTAATCGAAGATTCGGGGGTATATAGTTTTATCGTGTCCGTCTGTATGTCTGTCTGTCTATCTGGCGGTCTGTTTCTCCGTAAAAACTTTAACCTTTACCATAACTTTACATTTATTGTAGCTATGTCTTTCATATTCAACATGTGTACATTCCTTATGACAAGACCTTACTTTGGGTACCATGAAATTTGACCTTTTGACTTTACCTTGGAGTTTGTCCCATTTTACAAAAAAATGCCGAATTTTTAATTAATTTACTTTGGCTATAACTTTTAAACTGTAGATACTAGTACTCTCATACTTCACAAATGTTATCCTTGTTCATTAAACCTTCATAAGAAACCATCAACTTTGACCCTTTGACCTTTGAGTTTTACCTACCTTTCAAACACTAATCCTTAGCCATTAATTTTGAACAAGTGGTGCTAGGGCTTTCCTATTTTGCAATTGTATTTCTTGTGAGAAGACCCTACTTTGGGTACCATTATATTTAAATTGCCTTTAAGATAAGTTTAATCTTCGTTATGTTGCCATACAGGGGCATAGCTGTTTTACAAATACATCTTTTTATATATAAAAGGAGTTGCGGATAACAGATGGATACCTCAAAGTGTAACAGACGGACAGACATCCCAATCACTATATACCCTCCCGCTTTTCAAGCGGAGGATAAAAAAATATATGTTACTGCTGATTTTTTCTGTTAGTACGATGATTCCCACCATCGAAAAACAATGTTTACCCAACCCTTTAGGCTCGATAGATTTTTACTCTGAATCATCGCATTGACCTTAAAATATAGCTATAATCGTATGTTATGAGATCAACATATCATCAATTTATTCCAAATAAGCTCAGGTGAGCATTTTGGCCAATATGCTTCTTTATCTATTTTTTTTTTTTGCCCCCTAAAGATTTCAGCTTTAATCAACAGGGAGTCATTTTTCTACGGGGGTCATTTTTCTTCACGTGGGTTCTGCAAATTTTTAGGGTGGTGACACTTTTTCTACGGGCAAAAGGGTCACTTTTCTACGTCGAATAATGACCGGGGGTCATTTTTCGCTGTCGAAAAATGACCCCCGGTCATTATTCGATGGGGGTCATTATTCGTCTTTACACCGGTATCTGTGGACGGTCTTTTTATACAGGTTTCATGGACGATATAACACTTACAAGTAACATGCAGCAGTGAAGATTGAAAAGAAATATTTTATGATGTCAATGTTTAATAATCTTTCAATTATTTTTTGAAGTAAAATTCAAACATATTGGAGTTTTCTAACCCGCGTGTATACAAGGCGAGTACATGAAAGATTTTGGCGCGCGACAAGGCAATCGTCTTGAAAACATGCTAACTCAGATTATCAGGAAGCACAGGTAGCTGATCTGTCTATCAAATCAGAAGCTATTGTTTTTTTTAATGATTGACAGGCGGTTAATTATTGATCTTAAGTCATATAGATTTTGGGGGCGTTAACATAAAATTGGGTTTTTAAGAAATAAAGTCCGCGTTTTTGTGAATGTTGCAGAATAATATCCGAGGTCGAGAAATGTTGTTTGAAAGATAAAAGTCGAGGCGTTAGCCGAAGCTTTTATATTTCAAACAACATTTTGAGACCGAGGAGGTAATTCTGCATCATTCACGACAACAAGGACTTTATTTCTATTCTACTACATGCACTAGCAGCTCTGAAATACGACTGGTCTTTTCTCCATTGAGAAACGAATCAAGTCACCATGCTGTGATAACACTGTTCCATTTAACACCCGTTTAAAATTTGTTTGGTTACCCGTGAATCGATTTGTGCTTACGCCGCATTAAAATTAGCCTTTTATTAATTTGAAATCTGTTTGTGATTTATATAGATTAATCTATTTGAATATACGATAACAAAATCAGTTTCCCAATTTACCATTTATTCACTAAAATCACGTAGGAAGGTCTTTGAAACAGCCCCGCTTAGATTTTGAAACCTACATTCATCAGCTACTTTCTGCAACATACAGTGTTTAAATTGCGAAAAAAGACACATCGATGTGGTCCAAATAAGTATTTCACTCTTAAGTCAAACGTACATTTCAATTGCACAGGTTTGATACGTGTTTCTGATCTGATAATTTTTTTTTGTGATTTATTGGAGAATAATGTCCGCGGCATTTTTTTTTTATCTCGGCAATAATGGTACTCGAATTAGGAGCATTCAACAGTGAAGTGGTCATATGACCATCTGCTTCAATCCAGTGAAAAATACAGATTACACAATTGCCTTATACCTGGTACTAAATTTAGTATCACTATGAAATAAGTTAAATGGATATAATAAATTCATTAACCGTTTGGTAAATTGACTAAATTCACATCTAAAGGGATAGATGAGAAAACTTAGTTTGTCTGATCCAATTTTTATAATATAAAATCTATAGATTGTTTTAGAGAAGAAATTTGAGTAAAAATATAAAAATTTTAGGGGCATATTCCTTATTTAATTAATTAGATGTATTTCTTTATTTTCTTTTTGAGTTGTTACTTTATTTTCAAAAGAGACTCTCTTGGACTTGGGGGTATTTTACAGAATGTACAATATAAGTGAAGAATTATTGAAAGTGCTTAATATGTTTTTCTCATTTTCAGTGATTTCTAAAATATCTAAATATTACTTTCATTGAATGTTATTCATCATAAAACGTTTCTGAATTATCTTGGTATGTGCTGAATTATTTTATTATAAAGTTATGAGTAAAATGAATGTATACTTACTGAAATTAGTTACTACTCGGCTCCGTCAAACGTTACATGCATGGAAAATGTAAAGTGCAAGATGTTTTAATGCGCAGATACCGGATATCAAAAGGGCTATTTAAAAAGAAAGATATGCACATTCTTGCATTTAACTTTAAACTTTCAATGAAAATAAAGATATTACAATGTGAAGATGAAGAACTGTATTTTACTATTATGTTTCATAGGTAAGAGATTTATTTGATATTTAATAATTTAATAACAATAAAGTAATTTGGTGATTCATTTTTTTTTTACAATGAAGTCTTCCATGTTTGTAATCCAAAGGTATAAAAGGAGTGGTGAATGTAAGAAAAAATCCTTTGAAAACCTTGGTTTAAAACAATAATTTTTGTATGCAAAGAATCAATAAAAAAAAATTGAACAAGGATTTGCACTGAAAACATTAAACAACTACAGAAAATGTTCACTCTTTGCCAAACCTTTAACATTTCTATTCATTTGAAACGGATATTCGAGTAAAAAAATCTATCAATGAAACGGCTAAAATCGGACTTTGTCAATATGATTTTTGCCTTTATTCAACTTATATTTTTTTGTCCCCCGCTTGAAAAGTGGGGGATATTAATTTGGGTCCGTCCGTCCGTCTTTCTGTCTGTCTGTAAAGCTTTTGTTTCCACACGATATCTCGAGAACCCTTTGAGCTTTTGCAATGAAATTTTGGATAGCAACTCCCTATGGACTAAAGAAGACCCCTATTGATTTTGAGGACAAAAGGTCAAAGGTCATAAATTCGCAAATTCTGTCTGTTTTGACACTTTCGTTTCCGCGCGATATCTCGAGAACCCTTTGAACTTTTGCAATGAAATTTTACATAATAACTCCTTGTGCCTTAAGGAAGACCCCTATTGATTTTGAGGTCAAAAGGTCAAACTTCAAGGTCATAAATGTATACATTCTGTTTGTGTGTAACACTATCGTTTTCGGGCGATGTTTCAAGAGGATGTTGAGCTTTTGCAATGTATTTTTATACCAAAACTCCCTAGGACCTCTCTCACCCCTCTCAAAGTGCCCCGCCCCGTTTTATTAGTATTGATTGTATTACATGTCGCTATTTTTAGCACAGGGGCATGAAGGAGAGTTGTTACGTATAAAACAGGTTCTCGACGGATTTTTATTCTTATTACATCTATTAGAACTGAACTGTTTAATAAAGTTTAAATTAGACACCATGCACTTTGTTAAATTTTGACAACATATCGAACGTGAATATATACATGTATGTGACTTAATGTTTGTATATAATTTTCGCCGAGTAAACGCGGCTCCGTGGTCTAGTGGTATGTCTCTCGCTTCACATGTGAGAGGGCCAGGGTTTGCATCCCGGAAAATCCAATTTTTTTTTCCGAAATACTTTTTTTTTTTACTAAATGATAGTGTTCAGCATGTGAAATGAAAAATTTATGAGGTCTGGCTTGTACAAACTCATAAAATCATCATTATGTGTACAGTGTGATAAATATTCCATATTAAAAGAATCATCTACACACATAATAAAGAATAATCAATCAAACCTTTTGGCATATTTTATTTGCTTCAGTACCGGTATACATTTAATAATTCTACAAATTCAGTCAAGGGGGTCCGAACACCCACTCCCACCCCCCTGCGCATGGTTTACTTTTTCCCTAAGCGGGGGACACAAATTCTCTGAATTAGCTTGTTTAGTAAAAGGGTTACTTTTAGTGGGAGCTTTAACAGCATTTGACCTAAAATACGCGAAATTTTATTTAGAAGAAAGAATACTTTCTCATGGCAAAATCTTTCAGGTAAGTTTTTTGATATTATAGATTTTTGATAGTATAGTTAATTATTTTTCAATAAAAAAAATTGATCAAAGCTCCGGCCAACTATTCTTATATTCTCTCATCTTAATCTCTTCAATAATTTGTTTCTCGAGTTATGTTTGTGCATACAGTGTATGTGAAAAAATCGAAATTACATGACGTATATAATGCCGACGTACGACAACACAATAAGGGGTTTGTGGGAGGGTAGTGGATCAGAAGCCTAGTGTATTGTGAGGATAATATCTTCTTTTCGTTGATAAAGTTTGAATTCAATTGATGAAGATTCAATCAAGAACTCCCATTTCTTGACCCTTTTCTTCAGATTATCACATAACTGTATATTCAAATTCCCCCACTGTTGATTTTGGTAGGTACAATCGCTAATGTGTTTTGTGTATTAATTCTATTTTATATATATATATATATATATATATATATATATATATATATATATATATATATATATATATATATATATATATATATATATATATATATATATATATATATAAAGTGCTTTGATAATTTGAATGTTACGGAGTATGTTATTTTAATAGTTGTACAATTGAAAGCCAAGGCCTAAAATTTGGGATGCCTACTTTTTTCACCAGCAGATCGAATTTTGTGTAAACCCTGGCAAAGAGCAGTCGTTTTTTAAAGTAAATATTGACTCCAAATACCTTACCAATGCCATTGTTTATCATTCTTAGGAGGGGGAGAATGTTATGAAATAGAATATAACATCTCTTGAAAAAGTAATAACGTAATGAACTATGAATACAATGAACGATACAAAGTTGTAGCAAAGCAAACAAGCACCTCTAAAACATCTGAGATGGGATTAGTTGTAAAGGTAGAGTAAGTGTCCATGTCAACCAGACATGATTGGAGAAATAGAAAAATCTCTAAGCAATTTAGTGAGAAAGCAAATATTGAGACTACGCTTAGTGACCTACATCAAAAATCCATTAAAACAATGTAAATTGGTAGCAGAGTAAACACGAATCTCTGAATTGGATCAGGTGCTATGGAGGTATAAGCTTCCCCTACCGAACGGTCACACCTATCGTGTTTTTACCTCTCTGCATCAGCTCAAAATACAGGTGTTTAGGATATATTACCATAATTATAAAATAAGTAGGAAAGTTGTGGTTGTCTCAGTCAACAGATGTTTTCAGTTAGTTTACTATTCACTCCTCAGTATATGAAACAGTTGTATGGTATCTTTTACTTAGTTCAAGGGGATATATCAAATCGATCAATGAAGAAATGAAAATGAATTTTGACAATGGTAATTATACATTTGTACCGTGGAGGCTTGCATAATTAATGTTACTCCAAAACACCGTCAATAAATGTTTTCTTGTACAAAAAAATTCAAACCAATATACAAGTATTTGGATTTCATTCATTGAAACGTTGTTTTCGTGTTAGCTAAATAATTATGTTATTTGATTGTTTAAGTGTATTTTCGAAAGTTGCCACGGTAACATTACGTCACATTATATATTTAAAGGGAAGATAACAAACAATGATCGATTTGAAAGAATACAAATAATACCCGGTACAAATATGTGTAGAGTGTATAAAATATGGTCCCCTGGAAATTCCAGATGTCAGATCAGGTTCTGTCAAATTAAAGAAAGCTCCCCCGGTTGATCAATAACACCCATTCACATTAGATAAAGCTACTAATCAAATCAATAATAGGAAAACTTTTTCTGTAAGTCAATGATTAAATTTAAATGACCGTCATTATTTCTTTGGAGGAGTCAATGTCAGTTGTGATGGCAATCTCTCAACTATAGAAAATAAAAAAAAATTCTTCTTCTATAAATTTTGCAAAGCTTAAAAAAAGAACTGATGTCTACAGTAAAAGACATTTTTTTTTAGAATAAAAAAGTTTATCTTATAAACTCTACTCTATATAAAAATACAAATATAGGTATGCTTATAACGAGGTCGAATTGGTATCCATGGTAATTCAATAAAAATTAGGAAGCTGTGAGCGCTGTTTAAAACCATTATCTTTAAATACGTCGCGCGGTATATTGGGGTATTAAATTACGTAACTTATAAACGACTGGCGTTCGTATTTCTGGTCATTTTAATGTTTGGCCACATTAATTTTTCTACCACTTGAAGGAAGCTTCTGCGTCCTGTCATCAGGTCCCTCAAAATTCATTAATAAGTATCCAAATATACCGGTAAAGACCGATTCCGGCTGTTTGTAAAATTGGATTCATTCCTTTATATGCCGTGATCTTGACAGGTAACAAGAAAGGATAGAAGGTTTGGTAAAGATTATTTACTAAATAACAGGTTTTCCCCCTAAAACTAAAGTGATAAATGAAATTTGCAAATTTTGAAGTAGTCAAATTTTTCTTTAAAAAGGCATTTAAGCAAGTAATAGGATATATTGAAAGAGTGATTTTGATATCGGTTTTGTTACTACGAAACAAAATTTATATGCGTATTAAGGTATTTAACGGGACGTATATTGTAAATATGAGCTGCATTCTGTTTGTAATGGAAAAACTTGTTACAGATAAAATATTATTTTTAAAAAGTGCAAAGAAATAAAAAATTGCTATATATGAAACAGTCAAAAGTTGAACAATTTTAAGAAAACGAGAGCAAAAATTAGATGTCTATAGTCTGTTTTGGTACGCCTTGAATTTTTGACGCTTAGAAGACGTATGCATTAACGTCAGAAATTGATATTTTGGCGTTACACAATCAGTACCAATTTTTGTGTGCGATGCCTAATTATAAATGAAACTGTGTTTAAAAAATAAAATTTAAACACAAATCTTTGATCTTGAATCATATCCAAGACAGTTTTCACCCCATGAGGTAAAAATATGTTTTTGAAAGGCACATGTACAAAGGCCAGCGATTTATAACATACTTGTCATTCAAGATCTAGGTCACAGTCCTGGGTATCTGATAAAAATTGATCTGAATCTTTCGACAGCGACTTTTTCAAAAACTTATCAGGTATTTGAGGTCTTAAAAAGATAAATATTTGCTTTAATGACCTTGTTATGAAATATCCTATCTATGACCGTATTGGTTGCATTTTTGTAACCGAGCAGCAAGGCAGATGTTATGTTTTCATAATTTATTCAGGAAATAAAGGCATTGATCTAAAATAAACAAAGTACATAATAAGTCAAAATTACAAAAATTGAGAAAATAACATATGAGATAATTTACCTTAGTATACGTTTAAGAAAAATGAACTCTTTGAAAAAAATGTGTTCTGTAAACAATTCAAATTGAAACCTTACAGACTCATTTCATTTACAACTTTGAATGCAAAAATACAATAAAGTAAAAAGTTTGCAATCAAAATAATAACGTAAATCTAATCTTTATATGGCAATGAAACACATAATCAAATATACAAGTTACATACCATAAGATGCGTATGATGGACACTGGATTTAAGATATAACTTCTTTATGGAAAACGTATTACTGCTCTGATATACAAAGTAAAGCGCGGTAAATTTATACTTATAATGAAAAAGTATTATTGGATGAAAAAATAGGAAATAACCAATCAAATGAAAGAGCCAATGAAATCATAGAATAAAACTTTACTCAGGCAACTCAATCCAGATGCGCAATAGAACTTTTGGTTAATCAAATTTTAAGATTTTATTTCTCAAAACGATATGAAAAAAATAAATAAAAACGAATAAATACATATAGAAATAGATTTCATAATATCACATACTCCCCTGGAAAATTGTTAATCTGTCCTCAGATTATAATAATATCAAATTCACATAATAATAAATACATATAGATATAAACACGAATCAATGAATTCCTCCATTTCACAGAAACACAAAATGACTTTTTTTTTATCACACATATTCACAATCACTAGAGAACTGGCTTCAACTCCTTTCTGTTCACGTTTCTGGTCTTAGAATCGTCGTTTTCCAAACGCACACTGTAAACGGATGGAAACGGTTTTCCAACAATGGTGAACACTTCTGGTCTCCACTTGTCTTGAATCTTATCACGTCCTTTGATCCCTCTGTTTCTTACGTACACACGGTCACCGATCTGCAACTCATCATTCACTTTTCCTGCATCGTGTCTCTGTTTCCGGTCATCTTCGTTACGCTGAATCTCTGCCTTTGCTCTGTTGTACGCAAATTGTAACTTTTCCGAATGGAGTTCAATCCACCGGTCTAGACTGATGTCGTCTGTTGGAGTATTAATATTCCGTCCTAATAGGAAATCTATCGGCAGGTATGGGTCGCGTCCGTACATCAGGTAATAGGGCGCATATCCAGTTGATGAATGAGGTGTCACGTTGTACGAAAACACGAGTTCCTTGATGTATTCCGGCCATTTCCGCTTCCTCGCTGGGGGTAGAGATCGAAGTAAATCATGTAGCGTTCTGTTGAAGCGCTCGCACTGTCCGTTTCCTTGAGGGTGGTACGCTGTCGTTCTTGTCTTTTTAATGCGATAAAGAGTACACAGCTGCTGAATAATCTCCGCTTCAAAACACTTTCCTTGGTCTGAATGTATACGTTTGCATACTCCAAATTTAAAGAAAAACTCGTTCACTAACACTCTGGCTACTGTTTGGGCTGTCTGATCTCGTGTCGGAACGGCTATGGTCCACTTTGAGAAAACATCTGTGATCACTAACACATTTTCAAATCCTTGCGCTTTTTCCAACACAGAAAAATCTATCGCTAAACACTCCAGTGGTTCGGATGCTGTAAGGTGTCCCATACTAGTATGCACTTTGGGTGGTGGAATCTTGGATATTGCACAACGGTCACATTTTTTACAGTAGTTTTTAATATCCAAAAACATTTTTGGCCAATAACACCGCTGTCGAATCATGTTGAATGTTCTTTCAATACCTTGATGACCATTCTGATCATGGAGACACTCTAACACTAAGTCCTTCATACACTCCGGAAGTAGAATCTGCGTGAGCTCTCCTAATTTTGGATCTTTAATCTTCCTGAGAATAACACCATCAGAAATATATAAGGACTTTAACTGCCTTAACAAAACTTGCACTTTCTTGTTCTGTTTCCTCGAAAAACTTGGTTTAGGAACAGTGTTTGTCTCCAGGAAATTCGTACACTTTGAAATCACTGCGTCTTTTCTTTGTAATTCACTGATCTCATCCTTTGAATATCCAGGAAAAGTTTCTGCATGAGTGACAGTAGCGGATTCAATGAATAACACTGATGAATGCGCAGTTTTAATATCCAAAGGAACAATAGATCCATGTATGCATTCACTGAGAACATCGACACTTTTCATGGGAAGTCTTGACAATGCGTCTGCGTTGCTATTCTGTTTTCCCGGTCGGTACTTTATCTCGAAATCAAAATCTGCTAGTTGTGAAGCCCATTTCTGTTCATAAGCACCAAGTTTAGCTGACGAAAGGTATTTCAACGGGTTATTGTCTGTAAGTACCACAAACTTGTTTCCTAGTAGATAGTCTCTGAATTTCTCCGTCACACTCCACTTAAGTGCTAAAAGTTCAAGCTTCAGGCTACTCATGGTCTTTGCGGAACGTTCATTAGGTCGAAGAGTTCTGCTGGCGTATGCAATAACGACAGTACGCCCATTCTGCACTTGAGAAATAACGGCTCCTAGTCCATGTGCACTTGCATCAGTTTCGACAATGAATGGTAATGTGAAGTCAGCGTATCCAAGTAAAGGAGCACTAGATAACTGTGTTTTCAGCTTTTCAAACGAATCCTGACAACTTTTAGTCCACTTATCACCAAATTTTGTCTTTGGATGTTTTATATTAAGTTTGGCAATTTCAAGTAATGGTTCCGCTATCTGTGAGAAATGTCGAATAAAACGGCGATAGTAGCCCGCAAATCCCAAGAATGATTTCACTTCTTTCACATTTTCAGGTATTTTCCAGTTAACTATGCATTTGATCTTCTCACTATCAGTGCTGATGCCGTCTTTACTCACAATATGTCCCAGATATTGCACAGATGGTTGGAAAAATTTACACTTCCGCATCTTCAGTTTAAGACCATGTTGACGTAGAATAGAAAACACTTTGTCAAGACGCTCAATATGTTCACTTAAAGACTTTGAATAAACAATGATGTCGTCTAGGAAAACTAACATTATGTTGAATACTTCTTCCCGGAAACAGTGCTGCATTAAACGCTGGAACGTAGCTGGCGCGTTGGTAAGTCCGAAGGGCATGCGCATAAATTCATAAAGTCCAAAGGGTGTTGTGAAAGCTGTTTTCTCTATATCCTCTTCTGCTACTGCTATTTGGTTGTAACCGGAAGTTAAATCCATGGTAGAAAACATAACAGAACCGTGTAACACATCAAAAGTTTCTTCAACTCTGGGTAACGGAAATTTGTCTTTGATTGTCTTCTCGTTAAGCTTGCGATAATCCACACAAAGTCGTAGAGTATTGTCTTTCTTGCGAACAAGTACAATAGGCGAAGCAAACGGGCTGGTACTCTCCCTAATCACACCGTTATCCAATAACTTTCTAATGTGCTGTTTCACTTCCTCAAACTGAGATGGTGGTATACGGCGGTACTGTTGAGAAACCGGTTTATCATCAGTGAGGCGAATGCGATGTTGAACAGTATCTGTACTTCCGATGTCGTCATCATTCTTGGAGAAAATGTCACTATATTTCCGGAAAAGTGAAGTTATTAACGCTTTTTCTTCTTTGCTACAGTCGAGATGGTAAATGTCCTCAGGTAAAGTGAATTTATCATCAAGGGTCGTAACCTCTGAGACGTCACAATTCTGAATAAATATTTCTTCAACACTGCCGACTCGATTAAATCCGATATTTGATCTGTTGGTATCAACTTCACATCTAGACACAGTTCCTATTCTTGTACGTGGTTTAACTGAAATATCCTCATCTCCGATATTGGCTACACGAACCCACAATTTCCCACTGTTTATGGTAGCACACGTATATACGGTCCGGAAATTCCTGTGTAGATGTGATCCATTAATCAAAGGATTAACAATGACATCACTGTCAATATGCGGTCCAGTGCACTCTATAACAAAGGCAGTATTTGCTGGTATACGAATAGGAATTGACCCGCTCACTCGTGCAAATCCACTAACAATCCTATGATCGAACACGTTGCTTTCAGAAAAAACTTCCTGTAAATGTGCACTTGTTGGAATGTTACAAGTAGATAAGATATCCTTGCAAACACTGAGAATATTCATACCGATGAGACCTGGTAGAGCTTCTTTACGCTTCCTCGTTTCACTGTCTACGGAGTCTTTGACTATAAGAAAACCACGCTGAGGAATAGTTTTTCCTAGGTACTGGATATCAAGTTCTACGTACCCTACATATGGGATGGTTAGTCCATTCGCAGCTTTAAGTCGAATTAAATTGTCTTGTATGATGGTTGTTCCTAATGGCTGAATAAACTGTTTGTAAAAGCTATCTGTCAGTGTTGAAACCATGGAACCTGTGTCGACTAAGCAGGGGATTTTCACATTTAACACAGTAATATCCATCACAGGACACTTCCCTATAAAGCGTTGCATAAACGATGAGTCCTGTTGACCGTCATCTATTGTCGGACTCGTGTCAATAGATGTTACTTGTTTTCCGAATCATTCACTTTCACACGACAAAATCTCTGTATATGGCCCAGCTTTCCACACTTGTAGCACTTCGGACGGTTGCTATAGCGGCGTTCCGTAGAATGTTCACTGCCTTCGCGATCTTTCATCAGGCTGGTTAGTGAGTCGATCTGCTTTTGTTGTGCTTGGATGATTTTCAATAGCTGATCCGCTGTAGACGATTCCGGTGTTGGGACATTTAAATTTGGCTGATCGCTGATCTTCTCGGCCGGTTTACTGTCTGGAAGCTTTGACTGCGTGTTTGAATGGTGTTGCGTTGTTTCTTCTTCACTGAATAGAATAATTTCATCTCGAAGTGTGTAGAAATCAACGGGTCCGTATTTGCTTCTAACGAGTCGTTTCGCTTCCTTGCGTATGAATGGGTCACACAAGCCGTTAGCGAATCGTTCACACAAGGTGCGCTCTTTCTCTGGAAAAACACTGCTGTCTTTCTTAATCACTTTCTGAAATAGATCCAAAAGCACATAAGAATATTCACGAATTTTTTCACTTTCTCTCTGGTGTCGCTCAAAGAAACGTTGTTGTAACGTAATAACACTTTCCGGATTTCCGAATGCTGCCCGTAGACAATCCAATAGTGCATAGGGGTCATGACGAATATCTTCTCTGTATTTCACTTCGTCCTTGGCCTGGCCTTCCAAATGCGTAAATATAAGATCGACTTTCTGTGCATCGGTCCTTTCACGAGCTGCAAACGCTACTTCTAGATCGTCAATCCAGTCATCAATTGACACATCATTTTCAGTTTTAGGTCGACCAGAAAATGTTTTAATCTTGCGACTTTCGGGAATAAATGTATGTTTTTCAACAACTTTTGGCTTGGAAAGTTTTTCTTCTAAAAGTTCTTGTTCCAATTCATGGATACGGTTTTGAAGATCTCTTTTATTCATTTTCAGAGTTCAGATTCTAAGTTCACGATTAACATTTACCGTTCCGATGAAAACAGTTCACTGTACAAAACCCAGGTAAATCGAACACTCTGTCGATGAGTAGAATTTACCATACACACGCATCAGTGGAATATAAGTTCCATAATCAATGCCTTGGTGTTGTTTCTCGCAGCGCCATGATGTAACCGAGCAGCAAGGCAGATGTTATGTTTTCATAATTTATTCAGGAAATAAAGGCATTGATCTAAAATAAACAAAGTACATAATAAGTCAAAATTACAAAAATTGAGAAAATAACATATGAGATAATTTACCTTAGTATACGTTTAAGAAAAATGAACTCTTTGAAAAAATGTGTTCTGTAAACAATTCAAATTGAAACCTTACAGACTCATTTCATTTACAACTTTGAATGCAAAAATACAATAAAGTAAAAAGTTTGCAATCAAAATAATAACGTAAATCTAATCTTTATATGGCAATGAAACACATAATCAAATATACAAGTTACATACCATAAGATGCGTATGATGGACACTGGATTTAAGATATAACTTCTTTATGGAAAACGTATTACTGCTCTGATATACAAAGTAAAGCGCGGTAAATTTATACTTATAATGAAAAAGTATTATTGGATGAAAAAATAGGAAATAACCAATCAAATGAAAGAGCCAATGAAATCATAGAATAAAACTTTACTCAGGCAACTCAATCCAGGTGCGCAATAGAACTTTTGGTTAATCAAATTTTAAGATTTTATTTCTCAAAACGATATGAAAAAAATAAATAAAAACGAATAAATACATATAGAAATAGATTTCATAATATCACATTTTGACTGACATTTTTCTATCTAATAATTGCGTTTCTGTTTTTTTTTACTTTCATTTCAATATTTAAGGAAATATTCCGTCTACCTAGCACAACCTGATTCAGGAATGCCAACTTCATTTAGGTTCTTGATTCAGACTTTTGAATTTCCGGGGACCAGTATTTTAGCAATCAATTTTTAACAGATCGGACAACATTAGTTTTCTTCACTTTATTTTTTTTTTACGTAAAGAGAGAGAGAGAGAGAGAGAGAGAGAGAGAGGAGTGCTCACTTCCGTCCAAACTCTGGACATGCAGACTTTGCTTCTTAGAGTGCAAAGGCCTTCTAGGCAAGAAACAAAACCTGCTAATGATGTTGTTAGATTCTCCCCCTGCTGTCCTGCACTGCATTGTTGTAAGGAGTTAAAATGATAAACAGAAATCCAGGCATTGATTTTAACAAACTATCTTTTCAATTCAAGTTGCAAGTTTATAGGTTTTCTAATATCTAAATTGCGCTCAACTATTCTGAATAAGTGCCTTTTGATACAAATTTTAGAATCATATTGCCTTTTTTTGTAAAGAATAATCAAAATAAACTGTTTTACATTCAATGCTGTTTTATGCGACTTCATGCATTTATTTTCTGTTTAAGGGAATCTTAACCTGTCGATTCTTTTGAAAGTACAAATCTTCCAAATTATCCTACTGGGCAAGAATTCGTAGTATGGATCTTAACCTTTTATGTTTATAAGTCCATGTAAAAGTTTAGCTTTGGAAATGATATCTTTTAATCATAATGTAGGATTATTCAATTTTTATCAAGAACAACTTATTAAAAATAATTTCTTTCAGAGAACTATGCATAGGAACCTTAGAAGATCTAAAAAAGGAAATTCGCAATTCCATGTATCTGGTACGCCCATCTAACAATGACATTTAATAAATGAAAAATAGTCTTTGATTGCATGTGCTGCTCCCATTTAATTATTGTGTGAGTTATGAAAATACTTAATAAATTTTACAACATCATTTTTATATCTTTTTATTTGAAACAATACATAAAAATATAATCGACAATAATTTCCTTTACAAAAGAGTGAAATAACAAACAGTGATTAAACTCATAATTTGGCATTAAAAAGGTATCTTTAGAATGCTAGATATGGGATAAATATTATTTTAATCAAATGATGAACCTACAAACATGAATCGTCTTCATATCTTTCATTTATCTGTCTATTTAAGAGAGGTTGTTTTACAATAACTACTAGCATATTGGAAAAGAAGTTTTTGTCTGCAGTGTAATTCAATATTTTCATTGTTTCCTTTTTCACTCACTATCTTTTAATGTAATGTGACCTATTTTACGAGATATGTAATGACAAAATCTCTTTAATCTTCTTTAAAACTTGATCCAACTTTCGATATCACTTTTCCATGGTCACTTTTAGAGAAAAGTTGAAAAGTGTTCAATTGAAACGAAAATATTCAGCGAACTTAGATACTTGATGAAATATGTACTGCAATAACTTATAAATCAAAACAGCTAGGCTCATAAGTTGCATTTATAGATATTTTTTCTTTTGGTTTTCTAGTGTCCGTTAAATCGTTCCTGACAATAACACAGCAAGCCTCAAAGGGAAGAACTGCTATATTAGAATGCGAGTACCCAATAGAAACAATAGTTGTCCAGTGGTCTCGAGTTGGTATTGGTATCCTTACCACCTGCAACATTCCTGGAACTTGCTTACCAATGGAGAACACAAGATACTCTGCCAACGTCTCCAGGTCTTTGTCTAACTTCATTATAAAAGATTCAAGATATGAAGATGATACAGGAAATTGGACCTGCACCGTTAATAGCACAGCGCACTCTCGGGTAGCAACACAACAGGTTATTGTTTCCAGTACGTATCTGCACAAATCTATTTTTAAGTCTTGAAAAACATAATTTCAAATATCAGCTTTTAATTTAACTTGCAAGTGCTGAAGTATTTGAAAAAAATGTCTTGGTAAAGTTTAAAAGACATATTTTTGTCATTTTAAGTATTTGGACAATACTGAAAGGCTTTCAAAAACATAAAAAATTTAACATTTTATTTGAACTGTTTCTTTATATTGAATTCTGAAAACATCTTATATAAATATCAATAAAATCTGTCTTCTTAAATTTAAAAAGAAAAAGGCATAGGCAATTTAAAAAAAAAATGAAATTAACCTGATTACATTTCAATTTAGAAAATCAATCGTTTGAAATACTTTGAAAATAAATAATTTCATAAAACTCGGTATAGTACACACACTGATTTTATGTACTAAACAGAAATAATATATAAGTAAAGGATATGATAGGCAAAGTTGTTGTTGGAGTATCCAGTTCACAAATTTGTATTGCCTAAAGATATGTTAAAGATCATGGTTCAATTATCTTTTGCATTTAACATGCTCATGTATATGGATGATAAGTGACTGTTCTCTATAGAAATATGTCGAGAAAAATGATGAAATATTTTAAATATCTTCAAAAAATATTTCTTTGGTGTACTATCAGCTCTGCCAAGCAGTTTTCATTTTGTGAAAGGACCTGTGAGTCAAATCATTATGCCTGACGAAGGACTGGATCTTGAGGCGAAAGCTGTTTGTGTATATCCAAAGCCACACGACGTTTTTCTATACTACAAAATAAAGGTTTGATATTTTCTGTATTACAACGAGACACATTACAAACCCTCCTCTCATAATAATTTCCAAACAGCTGTATTTCATTTTCATTCTGAATGACTTTGTAGTGTAAAACAGCACTGTGATAATTCATCGGCACCAAAAGCAAGTTTTTTTTTTACTTGCCAAGATAGCTGAGCAGTTTAACGCACTGTTCCTCTACTGCTGGGATGCTGATTCCGTAGGTCAAGAGTTCAAACCCCAGTTTTGGCGGAAGTGGGTATCTTAATAAAAGTGAATTCACGGGTTAAGTGCTTTATCTGACTTTGACACTGACAAGATTCTCTGAAACTCCATTTTTTGAAACTTCTTCCCTTATAAGATAAATGATAATAAACATTTTATTTCTTAAAAGCGAGAAAAAGACTACATAACTGAAGTGTTAAATTTTATTGATATATACGTACTAGTAGCTACTGCAAGTCGGATGTTTCCCCTCCCACCTCTTACCCATTAATGAGAATTTTAGGACCTTTAAATTAAGTGTGTGATCCCTTTTGACATTAGTTGACCTATTGACAACAATACTCTCTTACTTCATACTGTATATAATTTAACTAACAAGAACTGTAGATCATAATATAATATCGAAACATCTTATTTTTTGATTTATATATTTGGTGTTTATAACGAAGACAAACATTTCAAGAATGCTGGTTCTTTTTCAATAATTCCAGATCTCTCGGTCTTAACAACTTTCTGTCAAGACTTCATTATTTTGTAATAAATAGAATAATCCAACGTCATCGATAATTTGGATCGAAATTCGTCTCTAGAATATACACAATATCATCATGTTCAACATTTGTTCAATTAAGCAAATATGTGCATAAACTTAATTTACTCAAACCATACATAAAACAATACAAGAAATTAAAATGAATTCATTTGATATTCATTTCAGGGAGATGATACTTTCAATCTTTTCCAAAAACGAAACGCAAAGATGTATTTTGCTCCTGGTAACGACCAAAACTGTGCTGTCCACGAATACGAACTACTAGCTAAATTCAACATTCAAAAGGAAGATTTTCTAGACTTGACCTTGTCATTTAGAATGCAGTACAGAGCGCTAACAGGGGCTGATGTGTCAAGTGTAGAAACGCCCTATGTTATTTTTCCAGGTGTGTATATTTCATTATATGTACTGTAATATAGTTCTCCTGCCTCAGACAAATTTGTAGATTACTGATTGGATAAACTTACATGGCATCGCGTTTACCAATGGGGTCTGCGTTTTCCAAGGGGGTTTGCAACTTTGGATTGCGTATTGCAAATCAGGATATTTGTTTAAAAAATGAGTTTGCAGATGACCGGTGGCAAGCAAGTTAAAACAAATGAACGAGTTAAAGAGACAACAGTCTAATGTGCCAGATGCGTAGAACTAGATAATAAATGCGGTTTCCAACTTTTTTAAAGGAAATCATTATTCCGTTAAGAACCCAAATGAAGTGTATATTTCAGTTATTCTAAAAATACACATGCAATATTTTCTGTTTGAATTTCTACAGAAATGGATTGGACTGAAGTTATAACTAAAAATAAAATTATTAGAATATTTATCTTTTTTAGGATATCCCTGTCAAATAAAGCCATGCAGAAACGGGGGAACATGTCGAGTTCTGTCTTTCACTCATTACGTATGCAGCTGTGTTGACAGATATACAGGCAAAAACTGTGAAACTCCGGGTATGCCTTCTTCATACACTCTTTATCAATTTAATTTTAATTCGTTAAAAAAAACTTTTTTTTATTTATTATTTTTTTTTTGTACTTGAAATATAATCAGACTTCCTTAATACGTTGTGCTTATGTTCGTATTTCCAATTTCAGTGTAATTTCATTTTGTTTCAGTGGATCCTTGTGTATCTGATCCTTGTCAGAACTACGGTATTTGTCACGGAAATAAAGATCATTATACGTTTGAATGCAGATGTGAGCAGGGTTTCTCTGGAAAAACTTGTGAACAGAAAGGTACTTTACTAATGTGAAATTTGCTTTTTATCAACCATGTCAAATAATGATTTTCTGCAACATACAACTTGTGGAATTCTCCTAAGAAATAATCTCCTGTCCTTCCGTCTCACTGTCTGTCCGCGAAAACTTTAAGCTTGCCCAAAGTTTTTGAATTGTTGGGGCTATGTCTTTATTATTTCACAGGTATATTTCTTGTGAAAAGACCGTTCCTTGGATACAAGCAAAAATGTGCTCTTAACTTGACAAACTTTGACAATAAAATACCAAACTTTAACCTTGGATAAAACTTTTTGAATAGTTTATGCTTGAACTTTCATACTTCTCATGTGTATCCATTGTGCCAAGATCTTTTAATTTTTTTTCCTTTGATCTAGTATGACAGACATTTTTTTTTTAAAAAGTTTACATTGGTGATAACTTTTGAATAGTTAGTCCTTGGGCCTTAACATATCATTGCATACGTTGTGATACGATCTTCCTTTTCCTTTTTTTCCTTGGCTTTTTCACCTTGACCTTGGAGCTTGAGTTGCATTTGATAAATTTCAACCCTCGCCATTAGCTGCCATGCGGGGGCATCAGTGTTTCACAAACAAGTCGTGTTTTTATAAAGAATTCAAATTATCTAAAAATAATATGAATGTAAATATAAGTTTCTATTATTTTCTTTTTTAGCAGATACAAGCGGATCATACCTTAAAGGTAAAGGAATTTTTAAAAATGCCAATTTGATTTTTAAATTAGCATTTCAGTGAAAAAATTTAAAGTTCTTTAATTGACTTAACTTATGATTTTAAATTTAAATATCAAAAAATATTTCTGTTATCATTGAATCTTTATGCCATTGTGTCGATTTGATAATTTCACCAAAAAATCAAAATTACCATGCTTCTCTTTTAGTGTAAAAGTACTTTTCTAAAAATCTTAACTATAGAGATTCTGAGAACCATCTTGTGGTAGCCCAACACTTACCAAAGACTTTACGTGAAAACAGCACAGTCTTGCTCACATCATTTACAAACTTTACTCATGCTTTTGAAACTTTAAATAATCTAAAAAGGTCAAGCGGATTTGTCATCATAGTTTGGACACGGATTTGCGATTATGAAAGTTTCAAATTATAGGCTTTTTAATTTGTCACATTTTAAGGAAGGAAATACAGCTTTACAACTCGTTTTTTCTTGAACTTTAATGCCAAAAAAGGAATGGACACGATAAATATACGTATTAATATTTTTAATCACAAAAGGGGGGTTTAGTCTTGTATTCCACCATACTTCAAGTTTAAGTCAACAGCTTATATTTCTTTCAAATATACATTGACTTTTACTTCCAAATATTTTAGTTACAGGAATTTACAGAGCCTAGATATCGAACATTGGAAGCATAATCCTACGTCGTATTCATGTTGTTCTCCCCCTACAATTATATTCCTGCTGGACAAAATATTGCTATAAATGTTTCAGGTTATGGTTAAAATCTCACATTTAGCGATTGACCCTCAATATCAAAACAATCGATCCTTCTGTATTCAATAATTCAGACGAGTAGTAAAAAAGGAATTAAATTACACGATCAGAATTTCATTGTCCCAGCTGACAAAGCAAGTAACAACATAGTGTTATTTTGTAAGATGCATTTCTTTAATTTTTTCAGAGTAAGTGGTAATTAAATCTATTGATTACAGTCTAACTTAAACCAATAGCCTCCTTTTTAGGAAGAAATTCTTCAAAATCTATGTTAGTTTTAAATGTTTCAAATTTTCACAACAACCTAAATGAATTTGATTACCATTCATATACTGGATTCAAAATCATGGGAATCCTTGCAAAGATACCTAGCAGGTTCGGGAAAATGATTTCATACTAAAATATTTACAACAATATAGGAGGGACATCAGGATTACTTTGTAACAATATGTCTAAAAAGTGTATTTACAAGATATTGCTACTTGAAAATTCACCGAAACTTTTTGAAAATTTGAAATCACGTTATTTTACCAAATTCAGTAACATCAAATTTACAACTCTCTACATAACCATTCTCCACGAAAAAGTAAAGTCCGTACTTTTTGAATCAGTTCCGGCTTTTCACAATAAGAATGAACTCAAGAAAATACCTACTTTTTCATTTGTCAAGTTCTTAATTATTTTTTCACTGAACATTTTAATTGATATTGTACACTCAAGCAACCTTAATTAATCTTAAAAAGATGTTTGGTTTTCTGATTGACAATATTTGAATGGTTTTAGACTAAGAATAGTTCTAGTAATGAGATATAATTGAGACATTATTCTTATAAAAAAGGTTAATGGTTATCTACGAAAAATAATTATGATAAACGTGATGACTTTAACTTTTCAATCGCCAACTTCCCTTACTTGTGCAGCAATATACCTTTACCACCTCCGTAGGAGGTTCACATTTTATTTATTTCGAAAGCATGAACATGCTCTTTCGTGAACAATTTCTAAAAAGAGGTACGAACAGGGTTATAAAAAATATATAGTAGCCTCGTTTAAAGTCATGCTTTTGAAAGTTGTTTGTTCGATATATTAACCCTGTCTGCAAATACGATCTATCGTTACTTTAGATACTGACAGATTTTTTTTCAAACTAAATGTGAGGTCATTATCTACACACTGAATTTTCTGTTTTTCCCCCATCATGACAAGCAGCGCAAGGCGGTTGTGAGGGGCTGGCAGGGAATGCTCACTCTATGGCACTTGATTCCACCTCTAATGTTTCGAACGTTCGAGTTTGCTCTGCTCCAAAATAAGTATTGTTCCACTGATGCTGTTTGTTATCTCAATATATTTTATTCGTGATATTTGGAACAACTGAACTGATTAGGACATTGGATAGGCAGCTCTATTTCTCTATTTATTTTTATAAAAGTGTTGCTGCTGCTAAAGAAATTGATTAAAAATTGAGTGGGAGATTAGGTTTTTTCTCAAAAAGGATTACAGAAAAATTTATTGTTATTTTACGTTACATCCGAGAAATTATCAAAAATATAAAGACGTCATAATACGCGGATGAAATTTTGGTAAAATAACCCTTTGTTTATTCCATGAAACGTAAAGACCTAGTCCTTCTGAGTTCTCTCCTGGCCCTGGATTTTTATATTATATTTACAACAAACAAACAATTCGTATACTTTTTTGAAGTCCTAATTTAATAGAATAATATTTACATTTGCAAATATTTTCTTTTATATAACAATATAAGAAGCAACGCGTGTTTATAATAATTAGAAAAACACGGGATCCTCGCGTCATAAACGTTTGGCATAATTTCTCAGTAACGTCATAATTAGTCAATGCGTGATCAGAGTATCAAGAACATGCCATTGGGTTTGAAAAATCAAGCATTTTACATACTAAAGTTTATAATCTGGCAAAATATATAATATGAATAAGTCACAAACGTAAATATAGGTAAAAATCTATGATTTTGAAACATTTATCGGATATAGATATAGTTTTTTTTTAATTGATTCCGTGATCAATTTATATCCTAATTCACGTTTTAAAGTTGTAAATTATTTCTAAAAAAACAACTTTTTTTATAGTCGTGGATACCTTTGAAAGCGTATTTATAAAATATATGCACTCACGAAGAGAGTTTAAATCATTCTGATAAAATACGATCCATTTAACAAACAGTAATCAAGCTCAAAAGTCGATTTAAACACTACAAACTGGGAACAGAACAAACATATTTATCTGAAAGATCAGACAGTTCAGAGGACAAGATTTGGCTTGTCGCATACTGTTTTAAATTGTTTAACGTAGATAATGCATCATCTGCACTGTTCTAGAAATCTTTTGGTATGATAGTCCATACATAGTTCATACATATTTTTTTAAATTTAAGGTAGATAGTGAGTACTGTTAATCGTTTTAATACCACGATGTTAAATTTCACGATATCTCAAAAAGTACCATTTGCGATGGTTTTAATTTCACGCTGCGAGAAATTAATTCAAAATTTCGTATAAGCAATTTAACATTATTAAAAACTAATAATAACATTTATGAAGGGTTTAATTTCGCGGAAAATTAATAAATCGCGAACGTAGCGAAATTAAAACCATCGTGAATATTTGCCAATCTACAGTATATCAAGAGCAAAATATATATCTTATCAAGAAACTGGAAGTCACAAGAGTTAGACAATCTGACCTTGATTGATTCTAGTAAAATGAAACAGCTTGATAAAAAATGTGAGGTAACGAGCAGTATTCGAATTTCATTGTCCCTTAAGCATTATCAAATAGGAACGGAGCAAAAAGGACCTCCAAAATGTCAGAGGTTGGATCAGGTGCCATAGAGGAGTGAGCATCCCCCGCTGACTGGTCACTTTCACCGTGCGCTCCTTTTCATGATCGGGAAATAACGTAAAATTCAGCAAATCAATGTGTAATTAATGGTAAAACAATCAGTATGAAAAAAGTCAGCATGTCACTTAATGTTGATTTCACAATCATATACAATCACCTTGCTATAAAATAGCTCTAAAATATAACATGATCAAACTGTAAAAAAAAAAAGGTACATTTTTATTATATTTCACTAAGGTTGATTTAAGAATACACTGAAGATATAGCTAGAGCACCGAGATATGCATTTTATTTTGCAGCTATACTTGTTCTTGTAAATATCAAACTCAGAATTTGATTGACTTTATTTTGATGATTTCAATAACACTATTTTGAAAAAAAAAAGTTGCTTAGAAATAAATGTAAGTCATGCATTTATCTGACAGTGTTTAATTTTATAAGAAAAATGCCAGAAATATTTTTCTGTTTTAGTTTGCCATAATTTAAAAGCATTATTAAATATAGCTTAAATAGCTTAAATTTTACCCATTTCTGTAGAAAAATGCCAGAAATATTTTTCTGTTTTAGTTTGCCATAATTTAAAAGCATTATTAAATATAGCTTAAATAGCTTAAATTTTACCCATTTCTGTAGAAAACACATTGGAGTTTACCACAACATTTAACAAACCCACTTCTTTCATTAAGTCAATTTCAATTTTTCTCCTCCTGAGATCTCAAAACCTGGATTTTGAATTTAAAAAGTAGTTAAGACGAATACTAGTATATATTAAATACTTCAATAATGAAATTTTTTTTCAAGCGTATATCTCTTTATTATGTTAAATTGAGTTCTTTGTACAATTTTGTAAAAGGGCTTGGGTACTTATAAAGGCGACTGTCACAGTCTTATTCTATTCTAGTTTACTTATCTGAAAAAGAAAATATTTTATTACATCACCACGTAAGAAATCTCATTTCTTAATACGGCTTTGTTGTGTGAAGGCATACTGTTTGCAAACTATCTACATGTATTTTTTCTTCAGGTACCGTCTACTTATTTTGGATGATTATGGCTGGAAATATGTATCACCTGTTCTGGCGTGTTCTTTTCTAAAGCATTGCAGAGTAACAAGAATTAAGGAACATTATACATTGTATTGAGGAATATACAAGATTAAAATCTAATCTTGCTAATGAAGTCTTAAGATCTAAAACAGCTTTTTAAGTCAGATTTGTACGAGTATACGTATGTCACTTTACTTATGCTTGCATGTAGATTCAATGATTTTTTTTTGCAAGAAAATACACATTATGTAAACTTATGTACACAGAAAGTCATATAAACAATTATGTTTGTGATATTGCTATAACAAAAGAATATTTAATATAAATAATTTAAGGTCATACGCAACTTAGTTTTAATTTTAATGGATTCTTTCTTTGATATTGAAGCATTTCACTAAATTAAGGAAATGTGTGCAATACTTTTATTGTCTATATATTGGTTTGTACACCTCTTCTACAACAAGTTTTGATGGGAAATCATGAATTTATGTTTCCTAATTTTTGTATATTTTTCTGTGAATAATGCTAAAAATTTCATAATTTGATTTATGTTCCAAAGCCCTGGGAACGCATGCAGATTTTTTTTTCTAAGAACATGTACTGGTACTAAAATTTTGAATGTAGAATATCTTGAAAAATTATCAGTTGTTAAGTTATCTTGCGTATGTCCTTAATAATAATCCTTTTAGAACTGTTGCACAGAATATAATGAGAAAAAATTAAAAATAGAATTGTCGGTTTTAAATTAGATTTAGTCCTTGATTTTTTTTTTTTTTTTTTTTTTTTTTTTTTTGCTGAAGATTTAAGTTTGTTGGACATAGAAATGAAAATGTTAAAAATTCTATGATATGGTTCAATGCATATATGCCATCTTTTTTTCAGATTATTTTGATTTTTACAAGACATTTATGTCTAACATGTGATGTAAATTTACATGCGTTTATGTACAATGTATTTATCTGTGTTTATTATGAAATGTTGATATATTTTTAATTAACTCATTTTTTCAAATATATAAAAATATTCATATAAATTTGTTTATCTTTTAATCACATGATAACTAAAAATCTATATATATTCCTATCTTGATATTTTCCTATTCTGCCAGTTTAAGTCACATGCACGCATTCAATTCATTTAACTAATAACACCCTATTTCTACTTTTTTTTTGCAAAGTTTAGCAAATTCATGATCAATTTATAATGGCTTGATCAGCAAAAATCGTTTGAATGAGTCGGATCATGAAAAACATGAGGACCGGGCTGCTCTATACATATAAGTTTAATTGTTGGTGTATGGGAATTGGGATGGGAGTAGTTATTCAGAATTAATGGTTTTCTAAACATTGAAAAGTTTGTTAATCAGAATGTTTTTTTTCCTTCATAAATTACGAGATTCATAACATATTTACTTCCATAAATTAAATCTATAAAAATATATATGTTTTTCATATTTATCATATAAAGTTGCTTATCATTTACTATCGAAAAAACGACAGGTCCCTTTTTTTTTTAGAAGGTCGATTTTTATTCTCGCATAAAAAAGTACTATGCACGGTTCGTGTTCCATATTCTAAAATTGTAAATTAAATACATTTTTGAATATAGGTAATGTATGTGTCTAACTTAAATTTATATTTTATGCAGCCAACATTTACTTGAGGAATTGATCAAGTTTAAAATGGTATCGTTTTTGTTTGATTTTTATCCGACTAAAAGTTTTCAAAATATTCGCGACTAACGTCTACATCAATTAGACGCATGCCTTTTTCACATATGTCAAAGCGGTTTGATGATCAAGACTCATTTCCATTGTTTACTTAATATATTTCACGGGCGACTATTGATGGTTACATCAATGTTTTCTTGTAATACTTGTTTAGCCATTATTTACAAAACGTATAGAAATTTCCGTATGTTCCGTCATGACGGAAACGGATTGTGACCTGTCGGAAAAAGTGGAAAGTCTACTTCCCCATATATCTTTTAATATGTACTGTTTCAAAGTTTTGAGTTTATATTTCATACACATCGTATGAAAGATACATTTTTCATTGTGTATTTCTTATTTCCCTTTTTAGGCGTTTTACAAAACTGTAGTGCTTCACTGTCAGTTTCTGAATATGCTTCGGAAGGGACACAAGGTTCACTCCGATGTGATTTCTACATACAAAAGTCAACCATACACGTCATCTGGTATAGAGAAGAGAATATCAATATTACTACATGTAACTATCCTGGTCATTGTGAATTTCCAAAAAACCAAAGATACGAGGCTTTCATATACAGTCAATACTCAACATTTGTTATTTCTGCTGCTAGTTTCTATAAGGATGACGGTATATGGTACTGCAGAGTGAATGGACTGGATTCATTTACTAACTTTACAGTAACAAGTAGGTACACAGTTTCACTTTATTATCTTTACATTAAATGTTTCGGTGGTTGTGACCGGTCGGCGGGCGATGCTCACTCCTCCATGGCATCTGATTCCGTGTTTGCTCTGCTCCTATTTTGTATTCTATAATTGACTTTTGAACATGAATGCTGTACGTTATCTCTATAATATCATGTATTCTTTGTATGTTATTTCACATCCCTTTCTAGAATTTTTCACTTACACGGAGACGCTACGACTGCCGCTGGCAAATTTTGACCTATGATCAGTTTTCAGGCCATTGAACAGTAAGTTATAATTTTCGTGCCAGCACTCACTGCAACCCAGGACATCAATAATGAATTTTCACTCATATGGATGCGCCAGGATTTGCCGCTGGAGAGCTTGCAAATTTTTCCTACACTCGGCATTTGACTATTGAGCAGGGAGTGATTTCTTTCGTGCCAGCACGTACTGCGAAACGGGATCTCGGTGAATTCGGTCATCGTCCCACAGTGGGGTTAAAACTCGAGACGCAAGGATGAACTCTTTTCTCTGCAACTTTTAGCAGACGTTCTTACCACTGCGCCACGTTGGCGACTCTTTGCATTTAATCGTTGTATTATCTAATTTAGTCAACAAATTCATGTTTCAGGTATTCCTAGTTCTTTTAGATTTACAAGTCCACTGGAATCTGGAATATTTGTACCAGATGACGGTCTTACTTTAAATGCAACAGCAATGTGTATATATCCAAAGCCAAAAATTGTAAATTTGCTATATCGTATACAGGCAAGTGCTTTTGTTTTGTTTTAATTATTAAAAGAAAGTAGATATTTTTTTTTTACTTTTTCCTTTGACTGCTCAAATTGTTTTGTATAGTTAAAGTTATTCCTTAAGCTTACATTTGTCGATGCAGATCAATCTGATTCTTTTTTTATCATTTTAATCTACAGGGGAATAAACATTACAGCAACTTTACTCGAAGAGAGGTAAAAATTCAATACTTTAGGGATGGGACATCCCACTGTCTAAAGCACCAGAGTATTATGATTGTGACAATTGCCCTTTACAGTAGGGACTTTCATTTTGAAAGGGATACGAGCGTTCTATTCCAGTTTTCCTATCTTCTACAAAGTGGGAAGGAAAAAAATACTGAAGAAATCATCGATCTGAAATTTTCAAGTAAGTAATAATGTTGTTTCGAATCATATACAGTGTCGTCTCTTTTATTAAAGTGCCATAATTCCAGTCCCTGTGATATTTGAGTTTGACCTTCTGTTCAGAAATTTGAACATTACTTTAAATTGGTCACAACTTTTTAGAAAAAGAGAAATTGAGGTTTTCATATTACACATATATATAATCTGTGACAAGACCTATCTAAATATATCATATCTTTAGAATCTGTGGCCTTGACCTTGAATAATAACCTTCTTTCTTAATATATTTTGAATGAGAAGATAATGGGATTTTATATTTGACATGAGCATTACCTGTGACAAGGTATTTTCGAGCACACTATAACTTTTACCCCTTGCCCTTGACCTTCATGTTTGACCCCATTCCAAAATTTTAATTTTGATGATTACTTTTGAATGACATGATAGATCGTTCATATTTAATACAATATGCAAAAAAAATAGCATCCTTTTGACTATGAGACCGAAAGAGTGGAACCACAGGTCTTGAAATTTACTTCATTTAATTCTATAAAACCAATTTAATCATTTTTTAGATTCAAGAAAAATGACCTCAACAATATGTGTGAATTGTGAAACAGGTAGGTATAATTCATACAAATATTGAATAAATTCACTAATTCTTACTTCAGTTTTATGATCAATTTTGCAAATAACACACTTTGTTTAAAGTTCATTAATGTTGCGTAGTTCTGGTGATAACTGGCAAAAAGTGTTAACACCTATTTGAATAAGTGAAATCACTCATTCATACCAAATAAGTGATATCATTTTTAGATAGTTTATATCACTTATTGGAATAGGTGAAATCTCATTTTTCAATTGATGTCATCACCTTTTGGAAATGAATAAGTGATACCACCTATTTGAATAGGTTTTAGCATCTATTGTGATATGTTATACATGTATCACCTTTTCGAATAAGTAATCTCATCTTTTTGAAAAAGTGACATCACCTAATCAATTTGAATTAGTGATATCACCAATTCAAATACGTAATATAACCTATTTGTAATTCTTACAACAATTGATAACAAATGCTCCCTAGACTATCTAGATTCCCACTGCAACCAAGAAAATTTGGACTGTCCAGTTTTCACCTGTATTTTAGTTCAAAACTTTTTAAATACCTTATGGTATGGATTAGAATCTGAATAGTTGATATTACTCTTTTTTTATTATTATAATATGTAATTTCACTATGGAATAGGTGATATCACATTTTGGCAGTAATTACCAAAATGGCGCCTCATATCTATTCTATCTATTTCAACTTTTTAAAAATCAGAAATGAAAAAGAATTTAAGTGGGAGTAGGGAGAATTTTTTTGTAAACAAATGATTAACTAATAAAACATTTTATTACTTTCAAACAAATATTTATGAATACTTTTGGAGTAGAGAAAAGATATATTTGCTTTTTTAAAAATTCAGACTTTAATCTTAAATCTGAAAGAATTTTATGGGTTTTAAGTGAATTCAATCAAATTCTTCCCTGTTAATCTATTAATTCTACAATCCAGAATTTAAATTATTTTATTTTGAAAAAACCTATTTATCTTATGTTCTAAGTGCTTTTTTAAGACCTGTTTTGTTATTTTCCCAAATCCATATATTTCGATGAAATGAAACATATTCATAAATTTATTCATTATTTTCTGTTTTAAAATGTACAAAATATAGGTTTAATCTAAGAGGGAATATTTTTAGTACTAGAAAAACAAATTAACTATCTAAATATATATCGTAATTTGCAAGTGGGGATTGGTAGAATTGAAATTTTTAAAAAGTGGGAATAGGTAAAAGACACCTTTTTTTGTTTTAAAAAAATGAGTTTAGGCTATTTTAGCTCATACGAACGGAAAATATAAACAGACCAAATATTGAAAATATATCCTACTTCCAGGTATTTGAGTACAGGTATAAAACAACATAGATATTTGTTTAGTTAAAGTAAGGATAATTCTTTTTCAGAAATCAGCACACAATCGGCATCTCCCGGAAAGTTGCAAATTAAATCTTCCGGTAAATTAACGTTGGTTTGCTAATTTTTTGTTTTTAATTTAAATTTTTACAAAATAATGAAGATAAGAAATCTTACAGTTTTGTCTCTCTGGTCTTATGTCAATTGTTTAAATGTAACAGGCGTATCTTATTATGTCAAGTCATTTTTTTTAGAAGATTGGATCATACCAGTAGCTGTAATAATACCAGTGCTAGTGATAGCATTAATAGCAGTGCTTATAGTGTACAAAGTACAGAAATCCAGGAAAGGGTTGTCTCCGGGTACATGCATTTCTAATTCTTATGAACACTTTGATGGGTCTGGCTCCGAAACACCTACCCAAAGGAGATCACAGGAAACAATAAAAGTAACAACAAGGGTGAATATAAATAAAACTAAAGATGAAAACACGACAAAAAAGGAGGCACAACCAAGCATTATCCATGAATCTTCCACAACAAAACAAGGTGAAGATAATCATGGCAAATACAGAAAGTATAAAGGAAAAGGTGATGAATCTGCAAATAGCAGATATAATTCTAAGACACAGAATGTTAGTGCAGTAAACCATTTAGATGTAGACAAAAATAATTCCAAAATATCTACTTATCCTAATTATGGCTTATTTAAGGATGTAAATTCAAAACAGACATCTGATCCTTTAGAAAGAAATTATCCAGATAATGGTTTTACAAGTAGAGATTATGAAGATCGAATGAGTCGGAGGACACGGGGAGAGAAATGGAAGAATGAGTTGCAAATGACAGATTTTATGGACATGTTCTTGCTAGATCCAACGAACTGGTCAGATTGAAAAAAAATCCATCATAGTCCATGAAAAAAAAATGCCAAAAGTGACTGTTTTCATTAAAAATCAACGGGAGAAATAATTCAAAATCATAAACATTAACAATGATGCTCTTACAAGTACAGCAAATAAAGCACGGGATTTTATTTCCCTCTCGAGAAAATGCCTCATAAGATCATATTCTGCCCTGTAAAATGTTAAGCAAAAACGTGTTAAATATTTACAGATATTACAATCAAGTACCGGTAGTATGAAGGATATGGAGATAACGAACAGTATCTCAAAGTCCATAAAACAATACAAAATAAGAGCAGAGCAAACACGGACCTCCGAAACATCAGAGGTGGGATCAGGTGCCATAGAGGAGTGAGCATCCCCTGCCGACCGGTCACACCCGCCGTGTGCTCCTTGTCATGATCAGGAAATAACGGTAAAAATCCGTCGTCAATTCAGTGTTTAAATAATGGACTAACAATTGGTATGAAAGACACCATTCAGCATTTGACTCAATGATAAATTGTATTTGCTGACAAGGTCATTGTATCGACCATAGAACTTACGAAATGATGACTTTAAACGAGACTGCTGATATTCTTGTTTCATCCACTTCCTTGTAAATAATTTACCTCGTTTTAGAAATTGTGCATACGTAGAGCATGCTCATGCGTATCGAATCAAATGAGATATATATACTCCGTATGCAGGTGATGAAGGTATATTGCTGCAAAAGTAAGGGATTTTTACGAGCATTAAGTCTAAGTCATCACATTTATCATAGAAGGTAGTTGTTAGATTACCATTAGTGTCTTTTTCAAGTAAAATATCCAAGTATGAAACAGAAGTGTCGGACTCTGTGGTATCTTTTATTTCAAGCTCATCAGGATATATCTTATCGACGTGGGAATGGAAATTACCATTATTAATTGACAATGCGTCGTCGATATATCTAAATGTCGAGTTGAAGGGCATAGCAAATGTTTTCTTCTTTTCACGCATAAGGTTTTGCATAAATTATGCTTCATATGAATATAAAAATAAGTCTGCTTATAACGGAGCGCAATTTTTACCCATGGGAATTCCAATAGACTGTTGGAATGCTTGGTCTCCAAAAACCACTTAGATGTTGTCAATCAGAAACTCAAGCATCTTCTTGATGTCAACTTCAGAGTACTTATGTGTGTAATCAGAATCTGTTTTAACAAAATAATTTTGCAAATGATCAATGACGAGGTAAGTAGATTTACGAATTCCATTTTTATTGAAGACGCAGCTGTAAATGATATCAAAAAGCCTGTATTTTAATTTGTCGTGGGGGAATTGTTGTGTATAAACTTGAATAGTCGTTAGTTTTTTAGCTGTTGATTTTTGTAAAGTTTTGTGATTTCAAAGTGTCAAAGGTTCGTTAGAATCTTTCCGGATCCACATCTGATTCACACCACTTCTTGAATATATAGTTGCACAGTACTCTTGAAGTTTTTCCATCACTACTGTCAATATCTTAGTATAACATTTACTGGAACCTGCAATGTATCTTTGTTTGTAAGGATTCTTATGAAGTCTTGGAATCCAATATATATAAGGTAGTTTAAATTCATTTGGCTCTGTGGAATATTTAAACTATTCAAAACTGACAGGTGATTTTGAAGAATTTCTTCCTTAGAAAGGGAAATATGAGTATAAGTAGGATTACCACTTGTAGAATTAAATCCAAGTTCTTCTAGAATGCATTTTATATAATGAGCCTTACAAACGAAGACAATGTTGTTACCTGCTTTGTCGGCAGGAACCAGTACGTACTGATCGTGTAATTTATCTAGCTCCTTTTTCACTTCTGGCTTATTGAACTCAGAAGGATATATGGTTTTTAATTGCCCCTCAATCTTTTAATACGGGACTTGAACATAGATCTGATACATTTAATCCATTCTGACAAGGTGTCAACGTCTTCTTTTTCATATTTTGCCCATCGTCTGTCGTAAATTTCCACAGAATCCATAATACTTATGAAATTCCGACACCAGTTGAAGGATCGGGGTTCGCTATATTTAGGACCTTTTAAAATAAGTAATCTTAAGTCCTCATTACGAACTATATTTACGTCACCTGTAACGAATAACGTGTCCAGCAGGACTATAGTTATAGGGCGAAGAAGAACATGAACACGAAGGAGGATTTTGTTTCAGATAGTCGGTATCCAGGCCATGTAAAGTGTTTTTGTAATTGAAAAGTTTGGAATCAATGGTCGATGTATATTTGTAGGAAATACAAGGTGTAGTCTTTAACTTAAAATATGGTGGAATGCAAGAATGGACCCTTTTGTGATTAAGAATATTACTTATATATTAACCGCGTCAATTCCTTTATTGGCATATTGAAGTTTAAGGAAAAGACGGATAAAAGAAGTTCAAGAAAAAAAGAATGCATGTTGTACTATTAATACATCTTCATGGAATAAAGGCTTATAAATCCTATGAAATTGTAAGCAAGAGGCATTCTTTGTAGTATATCTAAAGTAGGACAGTTATCATCTATCAGTGATGTTGACTATTCCGCACTTTCTTTAAACGCTTGCAGATATTGAGCTAATTTTCAGTATGTGCATGGCTACTGATGAGATAAAACTCTGTTTTGCATTTCCTACCGCTTCAATGAATTTCGACGTAATATTGCTGAATACTGAATAGATTGGACAACAGACAAACTGCCTACAAATACGCAGGTAGGTTAAGGTTACAACCAAATATTCTACTTGCCTATATGATATGACGTCATAATAAGCTATATGACGTGAGATTTAGAGATAACAATTTCTTAAAATCGATATCTTAGATTGATTTGAGGTCGTACAAATGAACCAAAATATGCAGAGGAATAATATCAACGGAATTTTGTCGTTCCTGGGCCTCTGTAGTTATCACAGGGGTTACATACCAAACTCGTGACGTCATAACTGTTGATCATACAGTAGCAGAGTGAAAGTGAAAAGTAACGAGAATTGATGTAAACAAACACAAGAAATCGGAGTTTAAAAGCATTTAGAATGAATATCATGTGTGATTCTTGTGGGAATAAAGCGAATGAATAAGGTATGGTAATATAATTCTGCAATTTTTTCGTAAAATTAAAGCAGGGAGGGTGTTTACTTGCCAATTTTTATTTTTTACTTGCCGATCAGTCTTTCCTCAAAAAAGATTCAAAAGTTCAACACTACGCCGCATACCTTTAAAGTTAATTTTTGTTTCTATCTGAAGTTCTTATTCTTTTGTTTTTGGAAAGTGCTGCTAGAATCGTATAGTTTACGGGAATTTTTGCATTTTTTTCGATGTTATGAAGAAAATGTAAAAATTTTGGGAAGGTTTCGTGCGAAACTGTTGAATAATTATTTCTTTAAGAGAATAGTAGGATTCTAGCAGCACTTTTCATGGTACAGAGATGTTTTTACATAAATATTAATATAAATTGGAACTAATTATCCCCGGGGTAGTGTTAAACTTTTCACTTTTTCATTAAGGCATATTTTCTAATTATAGACGTCACGTGGTGACGTCGTGGTGAAGTGCCTCCTGTAGTATAAGTCCCATTGAAGTCTATAGAATGCATAATTATAGTAAAAGTTTTATCCTTGACTTTTCCGATTTATTAGTGTTACATAATTATAAAAAAGTGTTAATTCGCCGAATTCTGATCAATGTGCTGCCTTAATGAACCTGCGTATCCTTTCTATACAAGAATGAATATTATAATATAATGAACTGAAATAATATTCTTATTACATTTTAATTATGCCCTTATTTTTTTTTAAATGAACTTTATAAGAATCGTTTCATTTTTCCTCGTATAAAATGAATCTGATTTACAAAGTCTTCCTAGAAGCGACTGATATGCTTGGTTTTATAGTTGTGTTGTTTCTTCAATTATAATATTCTTGTTTGATCTAAAAATGAAGATAGAAATATTTATTAACAACTTTTACAATATCCAAGCATAAAAAATGTTAGGGAAGAAAATGAAATGTACATAATGAAATACCTTTCAGATTCATTCTCAGAAGTATGCAAAATCCTAGTATCTACAAACAAGATTGATTTTCTCAATATTCAATTATATATTAAAGATTCAAGCTTGATGATTTTAAGCAGAATATTCAATAATATCTATGGATTCAGGCTTAATGATTTTGAGGAAAACTATTATTATTCAAAATATTCCATGTTTATAGACAGAAATATGAAGAACATCGTACTGAATACAGTAATTTGTCAATTTTTTTCCTTATTATTATTAGGAAATAATGACACATTTTATCTCCTCAAAACAAGAAAAGTTTTATTTTAAATCTTAATTTTCTTAAAATGTATATTGTACATTTAGGATATCATCATTTTTTAATTGCATATAAGTCCAAATATTTTTGATGTCTGTCAAGCTTTTATTTTGTATTTAAACTTCTCAGAAAGTAGGTAAAACAAGTTTCTTGAATATTTTTCTCATTAAATGCTGTAATGGGATTATATACATAAAATTTCTAATAATCTTTTATTATTTTTTGGAGAAGCTCTTAAATCTTCGCATGGTCTATATTTCTAATTCACTGATGTCCATTTCAAATGATTCTTACCTGAAGTGGTTAAATTAGGACTATGATTGCTCGATGTAGCATTTTCAGAAATCCCAGCAGAGGAGCTACATATATAAAACAATATTTTGATACATTTGATATCCTTTTACATCACAGTCCATAATATCAAATACAATAATGTTTCAACTAATCAATTAATTTTTATCGATTTTGTCCAGAATTGAGATTCTGGCTTTTTAAAAAAATAAATAAATAATTTACAACCAGTTCAAATTAAGAAAATTAAGTTTGTAAATGATATGCATATAGAATATGCATGCAGTAGATATAATTTACTTACGTTGATGGGACAAAATCGGAACCTTTAAATTCATCTTCTTCTGTAATGAAGACAAATATGTCGTAAGTCATGGGTTCATTTATGATCATGTGTGCTACGGGCTTCAAATAATTCTTTGTGAAGATCATCCCCAATTTTTAACAGTTATCAAATTGAGTTAGAGTTCTTAAGCA